GTCATGCCTGACCCCAGCACAGGGATTCTTCGAGGAGTTGTTCGGAGGCGATCCAACGCTGGTCTTGTGGGACAGGGGCTTTCGACAAAAAACACTCGGCCAAGAAGAAGTGAGCACCCAGATCCTTTAAACGGCTATTTTTAGAAGGTGGCTTCTGCTACCTGGCTTCAGAAGGTTGTAGTTGAGGCCAAGAAAACAACCAAACACGGACATCCACCATGGCAGAACTAAAAATTGGTGTTGGGCGCTCAGATCTCAATTTGTGTAGCCTTTGAGTTGGTGGCTGCAACTTAAAATCTTCGGGTCCAGCACTCCACCGGGAAGGGGCAATGACGACCCTGACTGATCGTAAGGAGATGGAGGTGGAATCCAGACCGCCGGTGGTGCCCGTTGCTTCCTTCTTTTTTTTGGGAGGAGGGGTCCGTGAAAGTCCACTGCAAAACATCGGTGGCCTTATCAACCCATCCATTGTGCTTTTCTGGAGTAGCGGGGGGGGGGGGGTGGGGTTAAATAGGAACCCCTCATTGATAAATAGGGGGATGTCCCCTTCTAGTGGCCGTTTATCACTTTTGGAGCAGAACACACCCCCTATTAGGACGGGATTGTTGATCCGTGGTCAACATGTTGCTCACCAAAGATCGGTTCGCTTGGGGCAAGTGAGATAATTTATGCATGTGAGTTTGGATTGGGGTGGCCTTTCTCTCGGCTTGGAATTGGGTGTGGGCCAGGGGGTTGGCTCGGGGATGAGCGCGGGAATTTGCTTTCTTGCTTGCCTGCCATCTGTGCGCGTGCGAGCGTGGGCGTGCACGGGTTCGCGAGCGCACGCGGGTTTGTGGGCGCGTGAGTGCCGCATGATGATTTGCAGGAGGGTAACATGATGAAAACGCCAATCAAGTCTGTCCCTTGTTGTTTCCTTGCAAAGCAATTTGGTGGACAAGTGATACCCCTTTTTGTGGAACCAAAACGGCATTCCATTCACATTGACTACTTGATCTTTTTGCGTTCACTTAGTCCAGGAAGCGCTTTGGATGCTTTGAAGGAACCAAAGCTCGACATCCCAAACAACCCTCAGAATCACAGAATTAACACATCATGTCCTACAACGAGGGCCATCAAACAAGGCCGCCAAAACTGTGAGATGCATTCAGCACCTGAAAGCCCTGTTGACCTTTTGGTTTTCTCTTTTTCGGTCCTTCAAGTCATGGCCCCGGGTCATCGGTGTCCCCTGGGCAACTGAAGATGTCGCTCGCCGATGGCCGAAAAAAATCTCGGGGCCGCTGGCGGAGGCGGCGGGGGTGGCATTCACTTCGAGATGGGCGGAGGCCCGCGCCGGTCGCACCTGGCTGCCTGGAGTCACCTTCTGACCCTTAAACATGGTGGGTCATGACCCGAATCTTTATTTTGGGTACTGATCCCAGTTTTTAGGGTCATGACTCCAGGTGGTGGGTTGCCAGTATTTTTATGTGAGTAGGGTTGCCTCCATCCCAACTGCTGGATTTGGTCCACCTAGAGTACCCAGAAGCTTTTGGGCTTCTCAAGTTTGAAAGGATTCATGGCCTAGTCTTGAAGCAACACCGCTGGCAGTCGATATTTGGGGTACGCATTTTCCAAGCCCCCTTACTAATTTGCTGGCAGGAGAACACATTTCTCTCGACTCGACTCGGCTCCACTAAAGCACAGGATCAAGGAACCACGGTGCGTGATGCTGTGTGCTTGCTTTTCGAGTCTGGGCCCCTATTTCACTGGTTCCCAGTAGTGCCCTTTTACCCTTTTTTTGCGGGAGGGTTCCACTAAAATCGACAAAACCTAAAAAGGTTGGTACCCTTATTCTAACCTCTCAAATTTGGAGGACCTAGGTTTCAAAGGTTCCATGTGTCACTTGCCCAAAGATAGTTTGTTAAATTCTCCAAGAAGCGAAACCAATGGGTAATCCCTGCATTTCAACCCCATTCGATCAATGGTTGACCCACGGTTGACCCACTCTGGATGATGACTCATGGGTAAATACTGGTTGTTATACAGGGCTACTTAAAAGATACATGTTGCAACCATTTGAAACATGTTGCTTTTTCAACACCAACAAAACGGGAAGCCACCATTTACCAGTTGCAATGTTCAGGTGTATAATGCATCCGGATCCCTGTTATATGAACCATTGCTTTAACGGTTGTACCCGGACCCCAGGGCCCACTTGTTTTGAAAGTCGCAAAGTGGATTGGCAAGACGGTGTCTTGGATTGGGTAAAAACCTTACCGGTCAAATTGCTCAACAAATGGGAGAATTGGATGGTTTGGATTTGGACCTGAGCCCCTGCTTATCTGTACGTGAGACGATGTGTCTAGTACTCGAGGCCGACGAGGCCCTGAGCCTGTGCAATGGCCCCCCGGCGTGTCCGACGAGGTGAGATGTTGAGACGGACCGGGGGGGCATGGACTTACATCCATTTGGGTACCAAAAAGTGGTTTGCTTCCCTTGTTTCCCTTGTCGGCGTTTAAGGGAGTCTATCACTACTGGACATAGTGCTTGTACTTTTTCCAGGGGGCTTAAGCAGTAGACGCTCAAAACGTTGTTGTGGGCATTAAAAGAGGGATCCCCTAAATGTCCTCTAGTTTTCCTTTCAAAAAGCCCCAAAGTCACGCCCCTATGCCCCCTTTTTAATAGATTACCTTGGCCTTATCCTTGAGGGTTGAAAACAAGCGCTCGCGAGACTTCATATGGTTTGGGGTTGGACCATTTCAGTGGCAAACAAAAAGTTCGCACTAGTTTTTGCCAATCCACATGGGAAGTGAGAGGCTGTCAATCTTATGGGTGTAGAGCTCATTTGGGGGCGGGGGGGGTAACAAGAACAAACCGCCACTTACCAATCCGAGGAATAAACACACCACCATGATGTAGATCCAATTTGTTTGTCAGGTTTTGGCCACGTTTTACATTGTTCGCGCTTGCAGACCTTGCCTGACGGGTCCATGAAAGTGGGACCGCATGTTTTCTCAACTTCGCTTTGGGTTGCCTCCCTTTAAGCCATATGGGCCATCGTCAGAACACCGGTCCCTCTTGGGGAACAGAGATGGTAATCCAGCCAAGGATCCTGAATTACCATTATAATTTATAATCTCATTTGTTCAAAGCCGACCTTTTGACCTTTTGGTTTTCCCAGTTTGGTCCATATTTAGTCATGGCCACAAAAGGTTAACCTTTTAGTTCCAGGTCCTTTGGGCAACTGAGTAATCATTCCTTTTGAGGGAACGACCATAGGCCAGAAGAGTTCTGACCATGACATATGTCACTTTGGATCTAGTTCCTGGCCTCCGGTTTTGTCCGCTATGCTCCGCACACTAAAAACGGCCTCACACAAAAAAAAGGATCATAGGGCAACGCCTTCTTGGCGTGGGGCGATACAAGAGTTGGCTTCCAGTTGAGGCATGGCTAAAGAAGGCCTTGGGAAGCCAAAAGGTTGTTTGAGTAGTGGTTTCAACGTGGGTACGCGTCGAATTAGGTGGTTTTCCATTTGGTTTTCTCGTAAGCCGACCTGAAAGAACCGAGTGAAGTACAAGCGCCGGACCACGCCAGGCATCTAAGACGATGTCCTGGTTGAAGGGTACTGCAACTGGGCAGGAAAATCGAGCTTTCCCTGAGCATCGGATATTGATTACAATCAATCTTTTGATTATCAGATTGATTCCATACAAAAATCAATCTCCACAGATTGATTTTGGAGAAAATGAAATCAATCTAAAAAAAGCAAAGTTTGCAGCTCATATTCAATATAAAAATGCATACTTTTAGACCTGCAAAATCAATCTAGAAATCAATATCAAAATCAAAAAAATCAATCTGCAAATCAATACAAGTCATGCGTTTTTCAGTATTTGCTGATGGTCCAGCAAAAGATTTGCCTTGCCACTTTGTGGTGAAACTACCCTTTTTCAAAGGTGCCCTTTTTCAAAGGTTTCCCTTTTGCAAGGTCAGAATAGCCTTTCAGTTTCTTTGAAATTGTCCCTTGTCAGCAAAAGAGACAGAAGAATCTTATATTTGGGTGCCATTTTGGCAGAGAGCCTGGTGCTTCTGACCCCACTTGATGAGGAAAATGTCAGCAAGCTGACTTTCCCAACAAAATCCTCATTGGAAAAGCACCAGTGTGCTTTGATGTTGAGATACTGTGAGTTATAAAGGAGATGTCTTTTGTTGACTCAGCTTGGTTCCAAAATGCTTCCAAGTGTTCTGTTGGGAATATATTATCAAAGTTAGGCAAGGCCCCCATAGCCTCAAAAAGGATGTGAGGAAGGAAGACAGCTGCCTCCTCAATCCCCTTTTTCAAGGACTTGGGGTCGATGCACTGTACAGGCACCTCTGTTGCAGAAGGCACAATGAACCTTGTCAGCAGATCCCTGTGGATGTTCCCTGGGTATTGCCCAAAGGAGCCGCACTTGGCTATGTCAGATAATTCATCATGCTGGCAGCCATCACAGCAGGCACAGTCTGCTAGCCACCTCACAGTGGTTGCACTGAGCTTTCCATGACTCCAAAGACTCAACAGTGCAGTTGCTAGCCTGCTGTGCTGGTCCCCTTTTTCAAAGGAAGCATTGTTCTGCTTACCCATAGCTTGCTCAAGCTTCCAACCTCTCAATCTTTTGGTCATGTGGTGAATCTTTTTAAACCACACCACCCCTTTTTCAAGGTGCCTTGTCCCTTTTACAAGGTGGAGCTGCCTCCCTTTTTGTAAGGTTCCTTGTCCCTTTTGCAAAGGTTTCTGCCTTGAGCCAGACTCATGGCTGCAGTAAGCCACAAATTTCAAACTCTTGGGGGTGGGGCAACACCAACCTTGTAAACCCTCAAGTTCCCCTATTTTTTAATGGGTGCTTGGCCAAGGGGCCCACACAAGGAACAAAACCAACCTTGTTAACTGGGAAGCAACCCCCCATGCAAGTTCCTTTGATTGTTTGGCGCCAAAGCAAATTTGTTGATCAAGGGGCCCAAACACAACCAACCAGGCTTCAGGGTTGGGTGGGGGGGTGGTGGAAATCTTGGAGGGTGGTGCTTGGGTGTGGGTCCCTTAATGTCAAAGCAAGCAAGAGGTTTTCCCTGAGAACATTGTGCACTTGCAGCACTGTGGCTGCAAGGTGAGAAAGCGCATGCCAGGGCGCCCACCAAAATGTAATCCAAAACGCAATGGTTCCCTTTTGTTGTTTGGGTGGTGTGATTCTCTTATTTTCAGGGTACCCGGCAAAATATGTATTTGCAATGGTTGGTTAGGCACCCCTGCATGAAACCCCCCTCCTACACTGAGATCATAGAGCCCCTTTTTCAAAGGATCCCCCTGTTTCAAAGGAGTGTGCCCTGCCCTTTTCCAAAGGCTCACCCTTGCCAAAGGGATGTGTGATGTTCAGCCTTTGGAGCTTCTGGATGTAGCTTTGTTGAGGATTTGCAGCACATCCTTTGTTTCATCCTTTGCGTTTTTCACTGCAGCTGCCACCTCCAGCATGATTTGTTTCATATCCTCTACACTGGCTTTGTTCCCTTTGTTCAAGGTTCTTCTCACCTTTCCCAACACCTCCCCCAACTCCATATGCACCTGCTGCTTGTCTTTCAAGCCTTGCTTGCTCATGTATGGGGACCCTTTTACATTTTCCAGGGCATCGCCAAAGTCTTCCAGGCAATTTGCACACATCTCTTTGGTTTTTTTTAGCTTTTTCAAAGCTGCGGTCATTTGCTCTTCAGGTGGCAGGTCCTCCAAAGCCAGCACTTGGGGTTTGGGCTTATTTCCTTTCCTGCCCCCCTCCCCCCCTTTGCCTTTGCCAGTTCCTTTTTCAAGGCTGCTGCTTTTCCCTTGGCTAGCCAGGAACTGTTGCAAGTCCTTGTCAAAGAACTTTTGCCATTCCTCTTCTTCCTCCTGGTTCACTCTTGGCTTTGCTGCCAGTGCTTACCCTGGGTCCCCTTTGACACCCTCAGGTAGTCTTTGTTATCACAATATTCCCAGACCCCCCAACTGTCAGTGCATTCTCTGGCAGTGACCCTGCCACTTTGAACATGTCTGTTGAGGGTTTCTTCTCCCCATTTGTCAAGGGCTTCTTTTTCACTCAGCCACTTCTCCCTTTTTGCAAGGGATTGCTCAACGCTTTTTGTTTCTGCCACATGGCAAAACTTTGGGGCATCCTGCCTCATCAAAAACAAGGCTGTCCTTAGCCCCTTCTCCTTTTTCCCTGCCTGATCAAACTCCTCTTTGGCTTCTTCATTTCCTTTTTTGGCAAGCCACTTGTGGTGCCTGTTCCACCCCCTTGTCTTTTCAGATGCTGTCATGGATTCTTGCAGGGACCTTGCAGCCTCAGATTCATCATCATACTTGTCAGCAATCTGGTCGACCTTTTCCTTTAAGGACAGCTGCCCCAATTTACCCAAATTCTTTGCATTTATCGTGGCTTTGGCCCCTTTGTTCAAGGGAGGTGCCTTTAAAATTGATTTGGGTGCTTTCTTTGGCTTTGGCTTTCCCTTTGTCAAGGGTGCTGACTTCATGACGGTGGTGGGTTTGTGCCTTTTGGCGCCCGTTGCCTTTGCCATGTTCTTCACTTTCTCAAGTGGGTCCCCTTTTTCCAAGGGTGTTTGTTGTAGAATTCTGTTTGGGCCTGAGCAGAAAATGCTGCAGAAAAAAATGCATGAAACCCAGTAAGGGTGATGAAGGGTGATGAAGGGTGATGAAGGGTGATGAAGGGTGATGAAAGGTGATGAAAGGTGATGAAAGGTGATGAAATACATGGTTTTATCACCCTTCATCACCCTTCATCACCCTTCATCACCCTTCATCACCCTTCATCACCCTTCATCACCCTTCATTTTTCAAGGCCCCTCAAAATGTTGCTCAAAAAATTGGAAACCAAACTGGTATGATTTGTTTGAATGAGTTTGGGGCCCAAACCATAAAGCACCAAGAGGTTTTGTTGGCAACCAGCCACATTTATGAAGATCCAACAGGATAGGAAAAACCAACCTCATGTGTGCAATCTCCTTTGCAAAAGGGAGTTTCCCAAAACGCACACCCCTTACCACCCTTGAAAAAGGGGGGTTCCCCAAAACACACACCCCTTACCACCCTTGAAAAAGGGGGGTTCCCCAAAACACACACCCCTTACCACCCTTGCAAAAGGGGGGTTTCCCAAAACACACACCCCTTACCACCCCAGCAGCCCAGCCCCTCCAGGACCTTTTTTTTCTGTTGCAAGCTCAACTCTGTGCAGACAGCCACTGCCCAAAAAAAACAAACAGCTTAGCTTTGAGATACTGTGACACTCAACCTTCAACAGCTGTAACAACTGTTATAAATAGGGCAGTGGTGCCTGCAGAAACTACAAAAACATGCACCCCTTTCTCCAAGGGTTCCCCCTTGTTCAAAGGTCGAATTAGTTGGTGAGTCCCCTGTTTCTAGGGTGTTTGGCCGCAGGCTGCAGCATGGTCCCTATTTCTAGGGTTGTTTTTCCTTGCTCTTTTTCAAGAGTCCTGCAGGAATGCCTGAATTGCCTCCTGCAGGTTGTTGCAGACCTGGATGCCCTGAGCCTTTGCCCAGTTGTGCTTCTCTTTGAAGCCTGATGGGGAAGGTCCTGAGGTTCAGCCAGGCTGCCTCCTGGCAAATGTCAGCCCCATCATCAAACAGGGCAGTGCATCCCAAATGCACTGCCCAGCTGCTCTTGCCCCATCTGCCTGTTCTTTCTCTGATGCAGAAGGCATTGCTGAGCTGGCCCCAGAAGGGCAAGCTCTGCAATGTCCTCATCACCTCCTTTTCCCTTTTTGCAAAGGCATAGCTGCACACAACCACCTCATGCCCCAAGCCAAGCAGCTCTTGAATGGCTTCAATGTGCTGGTCTGGGACGTAGCCATTGACTTCCAGCACATTGTGAAAGTCAATCATGACTTTGGTCTTGGGCGTTGAGGCAGGTGCAGCCCCCTTTTCAGGGGTGTTCTCCTCTTGGCTTGGCTCTCCCTTTGCCAGGATCTTGTTCTGGCTTGGTTTCCCCTTTTCAGAGGTTTTCTGGCTTGGCTCCTCTTGGTTTGGCTCCTCTTTCTGTGGCTTCTCTTGGCTTTGGGATGGTGGCTTCCCCTTTTCAGGGGTTTCGTGGCTGGGTTCTTCCTTTACCTCTTTCCCCTGCTGCTTTCTCTGGCTCCCCCCCCTTTTCAGAGGCTTTGCCTTCCTCTAGCACAGGCTCAAGTTGGCCCACCCCATAGTTGCTACTCAGGTGCCAGGCGTGCCTTTCCTTTTCCTTCTTGTGCCAAACCATTTTTTTTCTGGCAGGGCTGGTTGACCTGGACTCTGAGCTGGAGTTGTCCCAGTCCACAGACATGGGGCCTCTTCCTGCAGAGCTTCCAGAGCTTTGGCTGCTTGACCTTTGCCTCCTTTGGCTCCTGCTCCTTTGGCTGCTTTTGCTTGAGGCCCTGCTTCTGCTCCTTTTTGGCTTGGTGTCACTTTGCCAAGTGTCATCTGTCCAGGTGTCATTTTGCCAAGTGTCATCTGTCCAGGTGTCACTTTGCCAAGTGTCATCTGTCCAGGTGTCACTTTGCCAAGTGTCATCTTCCCAATCTTCCCAGGTGTCACTTTGCCAAGTGTTGCCTGTCCAGGCTTCACTTGGCCAAGTGTCACCTTCCCAGGTGTAACCCTCACTTTTGCAAGTGTTTTGCTGCCAGCTTTCCGGCTCTTCCCATTGTTCTTTCACCTTTTCAGGTGGTGGCTGTGGTTGCAGGTGGGCTCTTCTGGCTTGCCTGGCTTTGCTGGTTGTGCCCTGCCCGCTGTTCCTGCCTGCTTTGTTGCCAAAATCCCCTTTTTCAAGGGCGAGGTTTTTCCTCCACTCTTTCCATTCCCAACTCATCCACTCACCACTCATGGCCCTAGGTAGCTAGGCTTAAGCCAAAATGGCTGCAGACCCATGCATGCATACCGACCCCTTATAAGAAACACAGTTATTAGCAGCCCCACCCCCCATGCAAACAAAACATTGGCAAGACAACCATGTTTCATCTGCCTTTCTTAAGGGGGACCACCTGATCCTTGCAATTCTTGTTTTTTTTTGGGGGGCCCCTTAGCTACCCTTGCAACCCTGGAGCTCGCAAACCAATTTTTCTCCTTTCCCAAAGTTCTTGCTAGGCTCTTGTGGCCAGCAGCGCCAACCCCTTGCAAAAGGGCAATCCCTTTTTCAAGGGCACTTTGTGTGCCCCTCCCCCTTTTCAAGGGTTCTCCTCCAGCCTCCCTTTTGTCAAGGGTGTACTGCACTTTTCAAGGGTACTTCTTCAGATTGGCTTTCCTTTTGTCACAGGTTAAGTGTTTTTATGCATCCCTTTTGCAAAGGTGCTTTTTGAAACAAGAGGATTTTCCTCAAGGTCAGCAGGAGCCCTGCATCCACATATGGTTTGGAGAAATGCCTAGCTCCTCCCCTGCCTCCTTTTCCCATTCCCTTTTTCAAGGGCTTTAACACCCTGTTGCAAGGGGCTCTTTGGGTTGCTGTCCCTTTCAACGTACAAAGCCTTTAGCAAGTTGCCCCCTTTATTCAAAGGCTTCCCAGCAAACTGTAAGCCAAAATGCTGCAAATGTACTCACAGCAAAAAGTTCCCATGCAAAAAATCAATATGGAAATCAATATGGAAATCAACATGGAAATCAATATGGAAATCAAACAAATCAATCTGGAAATCAATATTAAAACCAATGCAAAACCACCCTTACAATCAATATGAGAATCAATATATAAATCAATCTGGAGAATCAAACTTTTCAATCCAGCAAATATTGAAAGAATCAATGTAATCAAACTATTCAAAATCAATATAAAAACCAGGAAGTTTATTGATTGTAATCAATATCCGATGCTTAGGGATCTTCTGGTTTCAGGGGACGAATCGATCGATGGGCAGAGCAATCCCCTTCGGGTGATTGATTCAAGCGGTTGGTTTGCGCACGTTGTAGCTGGAGTTGGTCGTGTCTTGTACGTCCATACCCCTCCAAAGAGCTTTTCAGGTTCCTTTTCATGGGCCATTTGTTTAGGGTCGAATGGGAAGGCTGAAGGCAAAGCTGAGACGTGCCCAATCCCATAAAAACTGCGGGCCGTCAGGCCGAAGGTCGTGGCCTAAGGAGTGGCAATGGAACAACGACGGCTTCACCCTGAAGCTTTCGAGGGATGGGGACATTGATGCGCCCATCCAGCAGTGTCTTGGCGTCACGGGCTGCTTCTCAAAACTGGGGGGGCGGGGCGGGGGGGGGGGGGAAATGCCCACAGTGAATTTGCCCAAGAGAAAACCAAAGAAGGGGACGGACATTTGGTTTTCCAGACACCTTCTTTAGCACCCATTCAGAATAGGGGGCTCGCCGAAGAATCGGGAGACTCCTCTGAAGCCTTGTTCTTCTTTTGGGCAGACTAAACATGAAACATAATCTGAAAAGATTGTTTGGAGTTCAGACGTGGGCCAAGGAATGGTTGGAGTCCTTTAAGTGTCTCTAGAAAGGTGAAACCCCCTGAAAGTCAAGCAGACGTTCTTCTTCCGTTCCCATTAGGATTTGGGCGAAGCATAACTGAACGAAGTCAGCGATTGGATTTCTCCTCAATGGAGCACCCGAAGCTTCCCTGAACCCCCCTGCTGCGAGTACATCCTCCCTTTCCTCTTGGTTTCCCCCAAAATCAGACCCAAGAGAAGACCTCGGCCTTTGGAGGGCTTTCCCCAAAAAAAAGGCAGAGGAGTAGGAAGTTCTATGGCAAGGGTTCTCACTCCCTGAGTGCATGGACTTTCGTCAGTTTTGGGGGTTGGTTGCCGTTTTAGTGGCAGAAGCACAAAAAAGCGTTTGGTTGCTGTTTTGGGCCAGTCTCGATCGGAAGCGAGCAAGGGTTTGTAGAGCTTCACCTTGCCGGCAAGCGAGCTTCGTTCGGGGAGCAAACAGAAGCAGAAGTTGGTGGCGCAAAAGCGCATAGAATCCAACGCTGCATTTCGGCCAAAACCAAAAACAAAAACGAATGAGTCCTACCAGTACCCAGGCGGAGGTCTTATTTCGGCAGGACTGGGTCCCTGAAAGTCAGTTTGTGTGTTATTGTTTTGGGAGGGGGTTCTCATGTTTGGTTGTTTTCCATTTGCTTCAGGATGGTCCTGAAGGGGACTATAACTACTGGAAGTATATTTTGCTTATGCGAATGGAGGGGTAACACTGGTCCAATTTCAGGATGCCACGATCATGGGCCTCAGTCGGAGTCCCATGAACTAGTGCAGCAGCGGCCAGCAAGCTCGGGTTTGTTTCAACTTTTGGACCGCCCAAAGGGTTGGCGTTCCTGCGTTTTGCTTTGGTTTCCAAACTTGGGTTCCATTTTGGACAAGGCATTGCTTTTCGTTGGTCCATGTTGAAAGAAAGCCCTGTGTACGAAAAACTCCAAGTAGTTTAGGAGTAGTTTCCGCTTGACCAACCCTAGCCCAGTCATGTTTCCCCCTGTGGTCCCCAGACCTATTGGCGCAACATGTGGGATCCGCTGGGTCCAGCCACAGGAAACACAGATCTTGACTGCGATTGGGCAACGGATCTTTAGACTTTAACTTTATTGGTTGAAATAAAGGTGTTTTCCACTAAACCCCCCAAAAAGTTGTCAACTTCTTGCAGGGGGGTCCTTACAGCAACCAACTGATACACAGATCCTTTCTCCGGGCGCGTTTTGTTTGGGATCCGTCCCCCTTTAACCTCCGAACCAAGAAACAGTCAGAGGACACCTCTCCGCGGACCAGCGAAGCCTCGATTTGCTTAAGAATATGTTTTATTTCCCCTTGGTTTCAAAAGGAAGCAACATCACTTCTGGACGTATTTTCTCATTTTTCCCTGTGGCCTTTTCCCCAAATGGAAGCTGGCATGCGCGAACCGCAGCCTGAGAGGTGCCAGCGGGGTTGCAAGTGGACGGCGGAGAAGGGGAAGCTGTACCTCTCCATCGGCAGCGCCGGGATCTTCGAGCTCCTTGCCGAATCGGAGCCGACTCCGACGCTCCGACGGTCCGACGGCGTGCCGTCTGGTTTAGGGACCCCCCCGTTTGGGGCTTTTAAGGGGCAACCGCTCAGCAAAACCGGTGTGTGTGTGTGTGTGTGTGTGTGTGTGTGTGTGTGTGTGTGTGTGTGTGTGTGTGTGTGTGTGTGTGTGTGTGTGTGTGTGTGTGTGTGTGTGTGTGTGTGTGTGTGTGTGTGTGTGTGTGTGTGTGTGTGTGTGTGTGTGTGTGTGTGTGTGTGTGTGTGTGTGTGTGTGTGTGTGTGTGTGTGTCATGTGTGTTTTAAGGGAACCCCAAATGCTGGTTGGCTCTAAGGGGAAACCCAGAGCAACACCAAGATTTTGGGAGGTGCCCGAACAAAAGGGACCACATGTGCGAATAAACAAAAAGTCGATCAGACGAACGGCTTACCTGTGCTTACCTTCTTGACTTGAGACTCTGCCTCATCATTCCCCCTAGCAAAAGGTTGGGTCGGACCCGTTCGGCCAAGTTTCCAAACTTGGGAACGCACCCTTCCCCAAGTTGGGTTCTTTGCTCGATGTTGCGTTTGGATGTTTCTGGAGGACTTGATTTCTCTTTCTCATTCGAGCTACGGTAGAGGGGATGACGTGCGGCACACTCACACAATTACCACTAGGACATCTGGGCTCACTCCCTGAGTTTCTGCACAGTTGATCCTTTTTGGGGACACCCTGGCGGTAAACAAGCAGTTCGGGCTTTTTTGGCCCATCCACTCGGCAGTCCTCCAAGCCCGCAGTCTGAAATATGATGTCCAGAAATTGGTCATATTTCGTCAACCTGAAATTTTGAATAACCTGAACATCTCGGATATATCATCCTGGTCCGCTTTTCTTCCATTTGCTTAAGACTATGTTTGATTTTCCCCTGTTGGTGTTTAGTACAGGGAATCTATCACCACTATATGTGCTATTTTGCAGGGAGCTTCAGCAAACGGAAGTATTGGGAAGAAGTCTCGGTAAGTTCTTACCTAGCTGGTGGTTGGAAGGGGGTCGTTGCGGAGCGGGGGCCGGGGGATTCAAATTTGTTGTTAAAGAGGGAGCTGAGCTACCAGGAGTTCTGGCAGAACATGGTGGTTAAGCCCGGCTTTTCAACTTTGTGGCTGGCAAGTGATTTTTTGAATGGTGTTTGCCGCTTGATTTGAGAAACATGTGGCGGAGACCCTAGGCGAGTTTGCGCCGTGCCAACGGTCAGAATGGATGTTTGGCGCTGGGGGGAGTCAATGGGAACTCAGGATCAGCACTTCAACAGTTGGTTTGGGGTTGGACAAGGACAAAACAACAGGAGTGTGACTTGGGGTGATTCACCAAGTCTCCCGGAGTGCTGGTGAGGGAGAAGCAGGAGGCCGCCAATCACTATGAAGGGCCCCGATGTGTTCTTGTTCTCGGGAGTAGCCCCGATGTGTTTTTTTTCTCGGGAGGAGCCCCTTTTGGTACGACGGAGAACGAAACAGAAGCCAACCAGTTTGAGAGTCTCATTTTGAGACAAACCATTTCTGGAAAATGCCCACATAGTACTGAAGGCATTGGAAAACCAAACACCGCCGCCGTTTCCATGTTGCCGGGACAAAACACCGCCTCGCGAGCGAGGCTGAATGCGCCAGAAGCTTGTGCGGCAAGAAAGTCTCATGGCTCCTGAGGGGGAGGGAGGGGAGGGGGGAGGGAGCCCAAATCAGCCCTAAATAAGGCCTTTTAAGGTGTTATTTAGGGCGTTTTTCGGGCTCCCCCCCCCTCCCCTCCCTCCCCCCCAGCCCCCAAGTCTCCTCGGCGCTCAAGCCTTCGCGCGGTTCGCTTTGAGCCCAGCGGATCCCAGGTACCGTAGGCAACCCTGCGCCATGTTCCAAGTCTAGGTCCCCCAGCGGTCCGGTGCCCTTCTTGCGTTTCTTTTCTCGGGGGAGGGTTCAATTCCCTACTAAAATAGACTAGAGAAAAAAATGGTACCCTTGTTCTGTCCTCTCAAATCTGGAGGACCTAGTTTTGGTTGTTTATAAGGGTGGCAAGCCCATGGTTGCCTACTAAGTGCCCCTGGGTTTAGTGAATCCTTACCTTTGGAGGCGCCCCCTCCTAGGAATAAACTGGGGTTGATTAAATTGAATTGGGTCAAATATATTATACAAGTAAGTGGAATCACTAGGCGTTCAGTCGCGGCTTCCGTGTTTGTTGCGTCCGGGCCAGGAATGCCTCGCGCTTGTCCGGCTGAAGCCTCCAACCTGCCACCTCAAACCGTGGAAAACCCACCGGAAACCTGGGAAGGTTGTTCAACCAGGGCATTTCTTAGACACTTTTTTGTGGCCTTTCTCTTCGCAAGTTTCCTCCCCCCCCCCCCCGCAGTTTGTGCTTGGGTGTTCTGGGGTACCTCCGTAGTTGGTAAGTCAGGAGGAAAGCTAAACCCTTCGCTCGCTCAAAATCGCCAGTTCTCTTCCCAAACAAGCCTTGACAACAGCTAAATATGCTGGCTTTCCCTCCAGGATTCTTTCCTTTCGCCCACCGAAAGTTTGGTTTTGGCCAAGCAACACCCAAGTAAACCAAAGGGGGTTCCTTTCACCACCATTATTCACTGTGTTTGACAAGGTGTTTGTTTGTTTGTTTGTTTGTTTGTTTGTTTGTTTGTTTGTTTGTTTGTGTGTTTGTTTGTTTGTTTGTTTTGGTTTGGTTTGTTTGTTTGTTTGTTTGTTTGTTTTGGTTTGTGTTTGTGTTTGTGTTTGTGTTTGTGTTTGTGTTTGTGTTTGTGTGTGTGTTGTTTGTTTCTGTTCAGTTTTCAGGTTGGGGGCTGCACAAAAACAGCGCCATTTGTTTTGCCCAGCCCTATACCAAGGGTCGCGAAGCTCGGGAGTTTCATCCAAGAGCTGGGTTAAGGAAATCCAGGGGCGAGCTGCGACTGTTGCAGCTCGACCCCCCCCCACCCCGGACCCTCGCGCGCGTGAGGATCCGAAGCCTGCAAGAATGGAGGGGCAACGGCTGAAAGGCCGCGCACTCAGCACGAAGTCAAATGTCCGTATGGGAAGAAGCCGCGACTCCAAGGGGACAGCTGTTGTAACCCCCAAGGACTACGGCGACTACGGACTCGAGAATCAACCCCTCCTGAAACACAAAAATCGGAGGAAAAATAAGCCCTAAAAAGATTGGGGGGGTCAAAAGTGAAGGATTCCCACAGGGGGACACGCCGCTATTAATAAAAAGAGGTACGTGCCCTGGGCCCTGGGTTTTTGCACCCAAGCTGTCAGGAATTCATGTGATTTGCCCTACTTGGAAACCCCTTGATTCATCCCGGGGTTCTGTGGCTCCAAACATACTTCCGGTGGGCTCCCCGATGCTTCGAGCGTGTCTTGGGCCGCGGATTGGGAGGGCTCGGGCTCAGCTCAGGCCCCCAAAGCCCGAGGAAGCTTGAACATGAACCCTAAAACTGCTCAACCTAGACCCATAAAAACCGCAAAGCCAAAACGACTAGCTTGTCCTTATTGTTCTTTTAGATAGAAACAAGTTGACCTGTTGCGGGGGTCTAAGTTTGGCCAAGTTGAAATGGGCGTGTCTTGAAATCATGCGGCCGGTTGCTAGATTTGGGAACCCCCGCAGGTCTTCGGACATCCGCCCACACATGGTTGTAGAATTTCTTTGGGGCGTTGTTCTCAAGGGACACCTAGAGGGAAGCAACATTTGTTTGGAGGGCATTTCAACACTCAGATGGTTCCCGTTTTTGGATCAAGCTTTGTCGTCAAATTCCTGGTGGTTTGGGGAGTTGAGTCCTTGGTTCTTGTCGAGGGCAAAATCGAAACCGCCACAAATCCAAACAAACACACAAACAAACAAACAAGGACACCTTGACACATTCCCCCACAATCGATGACAAGAAGAACGCCAAAAAGCATGACGATGCCACAGAAACGACTCCATCTCATGTTGGTTCAAAAAGCATAACGACGCACTTCCATAATCGCTGACAACAACTTATGTGGCGTCAGGAGTGCATCAATTGTTTGTTTTGTTTGCCCATGTTTTGTTCTGCTTGTCTTTGCAAATCACCGAGTTGCGAAGTCAGAAAGCTGAAACAGAACGACAGCCGGCAAACGCTTAAACAGCAGGGAAAAAAGAGAGCAACAAAGAATTGGACACAACGGAACAACACTATTTAGAAGAATTACGAAAACCGTCAGAGAAGCCGAACAGGTGAAATGCCAACCCCATACCAAAAGCAACGACAAGTCACAAACTTGAGAAAACGCAAGAGCGGTCAACAAGTTGAAAAGTCGCTGAAATGTCCTCCAATCGCTGGAAAGTCGAATTGTCGAAAAGTCGTGAAAAGTCAAAAAGTCGCGAAAAGTAAAAAGGTGAAACAAGTCGCGCATTGCAAAAAGACAAGGCAAACAATCAAGCAGTCTTTGAAGTCGAAAGTACTGAATTTGTACCTGACTTCAGTCCTGGTTATGCCGAAAGGCGACACAGTACAGTCTCAGGGAAGGGTCAAGCAAGATCGTACCAGAGCTCATCACACTCCATCCAAAACAAACAAGTCGAACACTTTGCAAAATATATGCAAAACGTATGCCAAAAGTATGCACCTTTCTCTCCGGGTACCATGTCCCGCACGGGGTAAGGACTTAGCCATTTTGAGGCTGCCCTTTGTAAGGTGTCTTGAAAAGGGAATCCAAGGCGACCACAATTTTTTGGAGTTCCCCCCCCCCCCTACCTGTTTGCCCACATCCATTGGGACCCACCATTTGAATGCCGAGGCTTCTCCAGGCGGAATTCTCGAGAGCCACTGAGCCCGATTAGTGCCGAAGCTTCGGCCTTTTTTGCCCCCGAAATGGAATGGGGGGAGGGTGTGACCCCTGGAAATCCATTTCTGGTTCCAATTCCCCTTTTTTTGGAAGACTAGAAATTTCATGTTTGGCTTCAGAATTCTTCTGCTCCATCAATAGCCAGAAGGGTGAAATCACCATGTCCAAGTCTTTTCCTCGATCCTTCTGCTCGGAAAACCATCTAAACACCCAGGGAAACTAGGGGGCCAGTAGTACCCTTTTACCCTTTTTTGGGGGAGGGTTCAATTCCCTACTAAAGTAGACTGCAGAGCTTATTCTAACCTCTCTCCTGGAGGACCTAGGACACGTCTGGTTTCAAAACGACGGATGTTTGCACAATGAACCCTAGAGGGCTCCCAGGTGAACCCTTGGAACTTGATGGGATGTTCTGAAGCTGGAGGCAGATCCCAGTGGAAAGGTCTGGGGTCATGAGTTTGACCGTTTCTGGGGGTATCACAGTGAGAAGCTGAGGTGGTTTACCTTTAACATACTGTGGCTGGACGAAATCCTGCACCACCTAAGAAACCCTGGAATGAGGATTCCACTGTAAATACCAACAACACGTAGTGGTTGCCGTTGGTGTTAAAGTGGTGCAGAATTTCGCCCATAGTACCACACAGGGGGGTGACCTTGATCGTGAAATTGGGCCAGAAGGTCTAGAGATCAAACGTGTTGGTCCTGTTGGTGAGACCTATAACTGAATGACATGGGATGCCAGGTGTAGGGATGCTCAACATGATGGCACCATTCCCATTTCTGCCACAGCAACCCCCGTGGTATTTGATCTGCCGATTTTATGCGAGCTCACCGTTTGTGTGATGAGCCCAGCATGATAAAGATTTTTCACTTGGCCATCCAATTCTGTTAGGAAATTATAAAGCGTTTTTGCACATTGATGACAATGTCAGATGAGGGTTTTCGTGAAACGACAACTTTGTCTTTTTAAGGGTGACAGCGAACACGGTGAGCGGGCCGAGCAACTTAGCATGCTCGTCCTTCACGATGCTGCCCGTTAGCCATCCCATATGGGGCGAGTGTCTTAGGGCCACGCGCTCCCTTTGTTTTTAAACGGCCTGTGTGCTGGAACCGTTTGGGTCATGTTAAGAAACAGGCAAGGTTTTTAACATGCTTGAGCACAACCAATTTGAAACCTTATCTCAGGTTTCTCACCTGTACACGGTTGCGTTCATGTGAGAGAGTTGCGTATTGCATCTCGGCTCAGGGATGGGTGGGCGGGTAACCCAAAACCTTCGCTCGAGATTTGATGGGAGGCTGTTTTTGTCTGCGACGCAGAGCTGCTCGTGTATTGGCGCGGTGGCAGAGACTGGTTTACATTCAATTCCGGCTGCGCTTTCGACAGCGCATTTTCCACAACGTGGGCATACACTTGCAGCAGTATTCCAGACAGTTTCTCTCCCGGTTGTCCCGAGCTTTGCCTTTGCAGTAACCTTCTTGCCTATTCGCGGGGGGGGATATCTGGCAAGTTTTGGGAATGTCCATTAGGAAGAGGTGGCTGGACAAGGGCGTTCTGAAGACCTCACTGCCAGGGGAGCAATCTGGAGTGGGCGTCGACGAGGAAGCTGAGCAGCCGCAATCCTTGGGGTTGGACCAATCAAGTGGCAGTGCAGCTTTACCATTTGAAGAACTTGAGCCACTCCATTTTCTTTCGCATGCTGGCGGCGGTAATGAGGCAATGTGTGAGCCAGATGTGTCGCAAGAGGACGAGCCCGAGGAATTACCCTTGTCTTGGCTGTCTCCCCAAGATCCAAACGCAGGCATTGCGGAGCCCGAAAACACGGAGGCCGACCCCAAGCTGGTGCCCTTGCATCCATCGTCTAACCACGGCCCAGGCGCTGGCGCTGCGGATTTCTGGAATATGGATTCTTTGCAGAGGCTGGCTACGGATGCAGCCATAAAGGGCATCGCCAACAGCCCCATCAAGATGCCCTGGGAGAAGGGCCCGCTGGCACCGCTGTTTACCGATCTCAATGTTCTTGGTCAGTCCTGGGCGGATCCACCTCGAGTGGGAATGCTGGATGCAGCAACGCCGGCCACTCTGGCACCTGCAGTTTCCAAAGATTTGCATCAGAGCCAGCGGACAATGGCCAAGAAGAGGTTAGTGTTTTGCCGGTTGTTAGTGCCTCAGAGTGATATGCGGGCAAGGGCTATGAACTGCTTTAAGATGCTGGTTTTACATGATCCCATGGCAACCAAGCTTGGCAGGACGTTGCTCAACTTTGCAGGAACGGTTGACAGCAATTTGGATCTTGCTCAAATTTTTGCAGATGTTTTCAGCAACAAGGCCACAGGCACCCTGTTGAAACGATCGCAGTCACTCATGGTATTTCACAGATGGTTGCAAACATGGACTGTTGAATCAGTTTTCACGCAGAAGGAACAGGCTCTGTACAACTACGTGTGCCACCTACGCCAACAGGGAGCAGGAGCAACCACGGCAACTCATTTTTTGGAAGCTCTTCGGTTTTCCAACGCTCTATTTGAGTTTTCAACGGTTGACCTGGACTCTGAGATCACGGCTCGTGTCAAGGGTGCGTGTCACGCTCAGTACATGACCAAGCGGAAACTCAAACAGGCCACGATACTGTCAGTTGACGCAGTTGCAGAGCTTGAGCGCAAGTGTGCAGGGTCTTCGTCCCAGAAGGAGAGGGTGATTTGTGGCCATTTCCTGTTTTGCCTGTATTCTGTGTGCCGATGGGCCGACTCCATGAACATCACGGATATCCAGGCGTCCCGATTCAAATCAATTGTGATCCTGGAGGCTGAAACAGCGCAGCATAAAACATCGATGACGAAGGAGGCAAAGACCCGCTTGCTTCCTTTCACGGCTCTTGGGGTTGGTCTGACCGGACTGGACTGGGTCACACCATTTGTGCGTGCAAGACGTGACCAAGGCCTCGAGAACCTAGGTTTCTTCCTCGCATCATGGTCAGACTCAACCTCGGCTTGGGCCTCAGAGCCAATGTCCACAGGCGAGGCAACTTGTTGGTTGAGAGAGATTTTGGAACCTCACTGCGGCACCGACTATGCGATCGGATTGACTGTTCATGGGCTTAAGGCCACAATGCTCTCATGGGCTGCAAAGAGTTGCATGTTCACTCGTGAAGAAAGAACCCTTCTAGGGCACCATGTGGAAGGTGGCACTGGCCTGAAATCGACCCTTATCTACAGCCGTGATGCGCAGATCGAGCTGTGTGCCAAAATACACACTATGCTTGGCAGAATCAGATCCAACCAGTTTCTCCTGACAAAGCCAGGGCCGAGCGACTTTTCGAATTGGTGCATGAGGTGGCTGAGGAGCAAGACCCCGAGCCACGGCCCAACCTTGAGGTTGAAGATTCGGGGTCGGACGCGGACTTGGATGAAGAACCCACCATTTCGGATGCCTCATCAAGCGCACCTAATAGGCCTGCGTCTGCGCAGCCTTCTCTGGGGTCTTTGTGCTGGGTGCATATCTTTTCACAAGTTACGCACTGGCAGAGAGAGGGCAGTTTGGACATTTTGGCATGTGGCCGCCTCAGAGCTGCCACGGACGCCGATCTGGATCCGGCGACACTGATCGCGTGTGCCCAGTGCTCCAAGACGAGTATGAATGTCCAGACTTAAGGAGTGGCAAGGACCCAATCCTTATGCGAGCTTTGGTTTGCAAACATGTCCTGAGTGTGTGGCGCGTCATGTCTGTCCGAGTAGGGTTGCTCATGTTATGAGGGTCTTGACTTGAGTGCAACAGGCAACCATCCTTGCCTTGTCAGGCAACGCTTGTCTGTTCCCCGACGGGCTCAAATCACCTGAGGTGTGCTCCGAATCGAATCTTCGACAAGCCACCGTCATCAGGTCCAACGAGCTGGGGCGATTGTTTAAACACTCAAGGTCACCTCTGTTCAGGGTCAACACTTGCACACATCATTTTCTCGAGTACTTGCCATGTCTCTTGAATCAGCGGCGGCGTTTGCTCAGAGGGCGCGAGAAGTGGGTATATCGCAGCCGGATCTGGACAAATTGGTGGCAGCAGGCATATCCACATTTGCAGAATATGCCTTTTGCAGTACTTACCAACCTGGTCAGGCCTCGGATCAACCGCTGATGGATCACTTGAGGGGCATCTTGGGTGCTGCGCCGTCAGGTGCTGCGGCTAGTTCGTATCGCAGGCTTTACTTCGAGTCCCACGCCCTCTCCCTCCAGGACCTCAAGTCTCGCTTGGAGCGGTCAGAGTCAAGCGAGGCGCGGGTCCTTCCTCTGGCTGAGAAGATGGAGCGGATCAGACAGCAGAAGCAGCGACTGCAGGGGCTTATTTGGACGCCCTGCACGGAGCCTTCGAACGCGCTAATAGACAAGGTGTGCCAGCAGATGGACGACGGTTGTGTGGCGTATCTTGAGCTCAGCAGGTGCACATCTCGACAACAAGAAACGCTGAACGAGAAGCACGACCACCAACTTCGTCTGGATTCAAGTGGAGCTTTGAAGTTGAAGAAGCAGCGAGTGGACGACTCGCCGATTCACGGCGAGACCAAGCTGCGGCAGGCCTTCTTGCGGCGCTCGCTTGCGTACGATCTGGCGAATATTGCCAGCTTCACAGTGTTGGAAACGTGGACCAACAGACTGTTCGAGAAGATGGACGAGGCGCAGCCGAGCGGATTTCGGCAAGTGTCCTTGGAGCAAGCGTTGGCGTGTGACAGAGTGTTGTGGACCCGAGTGGCTGACGCCACCCGTGCCAAACTGGCTGCAGATCCGGTAGCAGGCAAGCCCTTCGACAAGGCCTTTGAAGAGTGGTCACGCCACCCGGAAGTTTTGTGCTACCTTTCTCCACTGCCACAGGCGACCTCTTCCAGACCCGAGCAAGCGCCCAAAGCTCATGCCCCGCCAAAGCCTCCAGCCTACAAGGGGGGCCCAGGCGAGAAGGGCAAGGGCAAAGGTAAGGGCAAGATTCAGGTCCCAGATGGTTGCTCTATAACTATGGAGGGAGGCAAGCCAATTTGCAAGCAGTTTAACATTGGCAAGTGTCGTGCAAAGGTGGCTGCAGGGAAGAGATGCATGTTTGGCTTTCACGTCTGCTGGAAGTGCAAGGGTCAGCATCCGCACACAGAGTGCGCCGCTAACTGACTCTCGAAGCCAGCGCCTGCCCGGATCGCGCCTTCGTTGGACCCTTCGGTTACTGAGGTGGTTGCAATTGAGATGTGTTGTGGTGCAGGCGGGTTGTCGAGGGCCTTGCGCTTAGCAGACTTTAGAGTTTTTGCTGTGGATCACGAGGCCAACAAGCATTCCCCCCTTACCAACATCCTAGAATTAGACCTGACCGACCGCTGCCACCAAGAGGTGTTCATGCGGTTGCTGCATGCCACCCGGCCTAAATATTTGCATATGGGCCTTCCGTGCGGAACGTGTTCGCGGGCCAGAGAACGTCGTCTGCCAGGTTTGCTGGCTCGAGGTGGTCCACCACCGCTCCGCGAGGAGTATCACTTGATGGGTTTACCTGGCGTAGGTGCGCTTGACTCAGCCAAGGTAGCATCGGCCAACGCTTTGTACAGATTTGCCGTACAGGTATTGCACACATGCATGTTGCTTTCTGTTTTGGTGTCAGTTGAGAACCCCACACGCTCCTGGCTATGGCGCATTCTTGCATTCTTAATCCGATCTCATGATGACACGCGGCTGCGGGAATTTTGGAACAATTTGAGATGCAATGTTTTTGATGCGTGCATGCATGGAAGTCGCAGAGACAAATCCACTATGTGGCGTGCAACCCCCGGGGTTTTCGAGTGCTTGCAGGTGGTATGTTCTGGTGACCATGTACATGCTTCCTGGCAGCCGCAGCAAGTGGGCGCCAAAACCCTTTTTCCCACGGCGGAAGAGGCGGAGTATCCGCCGTTGCTGTGTAAACGCGTGGCAGCGTGTGTCAAGGAGGCGCTGGTGAAGCAAGGCGTTTGCTTCACCGCTATTGACAAACTGACTCTGCTGTCAAAGCGAGCGCTGGGCATACAATCCTTAAGGCATCGTCCGCTGGTCACGGAGTACAAATGCTTTTCAGAGACAAATGTCCAGGTGTCCACTTGCAATGGGAAACTGTTACATGCTCCCTACAACGGGGGCGCAGACTCTGAGCATGAACTGAGTGCCGATGAGGATGAGGAGCAAACGCTTCATCCTCCAGATGCAAAGAGAGCTCGGTCCCTTTTTAAGTATGGCATATATATGGCATGAACCCGAAGAATTCTTGGAGAGGGCTGAGTGTTGCGCACACCCGCTGGATGACCAGGATTTTTTGCCCGGTATTTTGCAGGAGGCTATTCAGAAGGTTGCTTCCACGGACTCAGTGGTCATGGCAAAAAGACGACTGCAGCAGCTGCTGTTGGTTAAGACTTGGGCTCGGGAGCTGGCGTCAGAGGAAGCCGACTTGAAGGAGAGAATGCATGCGGATGTGCGAAAGAATATGGAAAGCAAGAGAATCTGCCTCTTCAAGAAACTTCTTCAAGTGACGTCGTATCCGGACTTGGCAGTTGTCGACCTTTTGCGTGACGGTTTCCCGCTGGTTGGTCATCAGCAGTGCCCGGAAGGTTTCGTGGCTCATGTAGTTCCAGCTACAACCACTGAGGAGGACCTGTCCAGATCGGCCGCTTGGAGGAGACGGGCGCTTATTGGCAAGGTGCAAGCCGTTTCGGAGGAAGACGCGAGTGCCCTGGTGAAGTCAGCAGAGGAAGAAGTAGCGGCTGGGTTTCTTGACGGCCCATACTCGGAGGCAAGCTTGACTGCCAAGCTGGGCAACCCGGATTGGCTGGTGAGTCCCCGGTTCGTCCTATATCAGGGGGCGCGCAGGAAGGTACGTGTCATAGACGACGCAAAGAGGAGCGGTCTCAATCGGGCATACACATCGACCTTCAAACTTCGACTGCAGGACACGGACTTTGTGAGCATGATGGCAGTGGCGACCATGAAGGCGCAGGCTAGTCTGCCGCCGGGAGTGCCTCGAGAACCTTGGATGGGACGAACGCTTGACCTGAAGCAAGCTTACAAACAACTGGCAGTCAGTCCGGCGCACGGAAGATTTGCTATTGTGGCTTTTCCCATTCGGGGTGTGTGGCGCTTTTATCGCAGCTTGGTGCTACCATTTGGAGCAACTGGGTCAGTGTACGGGTTCACACGGGTGTCCCGGGCACTGTGGCATGTTCTGATAACCTTTTTCCACTTTGTGTCCAGTCACTACTTTGATGATTTTCCAATTTTGGAACCGGCTTCTGGCTGCGGGTTGGCGTCCAAGATCCTCTCTTCAGTATTGCAGCTGTTGGGTTGGGCGCATGCGGAAGGGGAGAAGGCCGTAGATTTCGCTCGGACATTCACTGCTTTAGGGGTCACCTTTTCCCTCGAGCGCTTCCCGCAGGGCCAGCTGGAGGTGTGCAACAAGGAGGGACGAGTGGAAGCAATAGTCAGCATGCTGAAGGAGATAAAGGCCGCGGGGGCTATCACACGTGCTGCAGCCTCTGTGATACAGGGCCACTTGAACTTTGCATTGGGTTATTTCACAACTAAGTCTCTCAAGCATTTGGCCCGTGAATTTTCCCAGTTGGCAGACAAGAGTACCGCAGCCACTTCCAAGCAATTGCAGGACCTGTGCAATTACGCCTGCCGGATGCTGGGTCTAATGGGCCCTCGTTTGCACTGCCTGAGCATGGATGTCCGACCGCTTGTCGTCTTTACTGACGGTTCTTGGGAGGACGGAGTTGCTCTCGGAGGAATGATCCTGATCGACCCCAGGGGGCATCGTGTGGTAAGACAAGTGAACATTCCGGACAGCTTGGTCAGGCTCTGGACTAAGGACTTCGGAATGAGCCAAATTATTTCGCAGGTGGAGTTGTATGTCTTCGTGAGGGTCAGACTACTCTATTCTAGCCTTCTGAAGGACCGTCGTGTCCTGGTTTGGATAGATAACGAATCGGCACGGGCGTGCTGCATCAAAGCAGCTTCTGCATCGACCACAATGCAAGCCCTCACCCGTGTTTTGCACGAGATGGAATTTCAGTCGCCTTCGTTCATTTGGTACGAACGGGTCTGTTCCTACTCAAACCCCGCTGACCTTCCGTCGAGGAGGCAAGAAGTGGAGGCATCTGGCCGGTTTAATCTCCAGACGGAGTGTCCGGTGCAAGGGCATGCAGAGTTGGAAGACAGGATTTCCTGTCTCTCCAAAACGCCCTTCCTGGATGTCGCTCCTCTCACGGGGGTAGACTCCTGAGCGACAAACCTGTGGTACACAGGCACGCCAGATGACCCTCGAGGAGATTTCACCCCCGACCAGAGGAAAAAAAAAAAAAAAAAGAAGTGCGCAGCTCTGATGACGGTTTGGTGTCCACGTTGATCTTTGCATTGCCTTTCCACTTAAAGGGCATCGCCCAGGGCGCTGACCGTGACGCACGCGCGACTGGCTCAACGCTGCAGCGGCTTTTGCAAGGGCGCGCCGCGCGCGCGCCGCGCGCGCGCGCGCGCGTCCGGGTACCAGGGTCACACGCGCGCGTGTTTGGCTCAACGCTGCAGCGGCCAAATCGAGGCCTCACTCTTTCAAAGACGAGGGTTTTCGTGAAACGACAACTTTGTCTTTTTAAGGGTGACAGCGAACACGGTGAGCGGGCCGAGCAACTTAGCATGCTCGTCCTTCACGATGCTGCCCGTTAGCCATCCCATATGGGGCGAGTGTCTTAGGGCCACGCGCTCCCTTTGTTTTTAAACGGCCTGTGTGCTGGAACCGTTTGGGTCATGTTAAGAAACAGGCAAGGTTTTTAACATGCTTGAGCACAACCAATTTGAAACCTTATCTCAGGTTTCTCACCTGTACACGGTTGCGTTCATGTGAGAGAGTTGCGTATTGCATCTCGGCTCAGGGATGGGTGGGCGGGTAACCCAAAACCTTCGCTCGAGATTTGCCCGCCCACTCCTTTCAGTCGTTCCCACCCTGGGGGGTAGACTCCTGAGCGACAAACCTGTGGTACACAGGCACGCCAGATGACCCTCGAGGAGATTTCACCCCCGACCAGAGAAAAAAAAAAAAAGAAGTGCGCAGCTCTGATGACGGTTTGGTGTCCACGTTGATCTTTGCATTGCCTTTCCACTTAAAGGGCATCGCCCAGGGCGCTGACCGTGACGCACGCGCGACTGGCTCAACGCTGCAGCGGCTTTTGCAAGGGCGCGCCGCGCGCGCGCCGCGCGCGCGCGCGCGCGTCCGGGTACCAGGGTCACACGCGCGCGTGTTTGGCTCAACGCTGCAGCGGCCAAATCGAGGCCTCACTCTTTCAAAGACTGAATATTCATCAATATGGCCACGGGTCAAAATCCCGTCACTAAAATAGTTTCTAAAATGGCTGGTGCACCTTTTTCAAAATGGGATCCCAAAAACGGTTTTGACAACCACGGCAATATGGCCCACAAAGAGTGATACCTGGAGTCTCCATGACCCTCAAAAATGGTTGGTCATGACCCGAATCTTTATTTGGGGTAATGATCAACCATTTGCTCAGGGTCATGAAAAAAAAACCTCCAGGTAGCAATTCACGCCTCGGGCTTTTCGCGCTTCGGGGGGTTAGCGAAAAAGCTTCGGTGAGGCGACTAACGCTGACCTTCCACCGCATCTATGACCACGAGGCTGTAGACCTGGACAAGGCTCGAGAAAGCGGGCAACGTGACGGTCTGGGGTCTGCTCCACACTGGTCCGGGGGACCTTCAAACTACTGCTGTGGATGGACAAAATCCTCTTAGGCACCACGAAATGAAACCATGAGAAAGAAACCTTTGTTTGTTGGCATTCTGTAGGGAATCATCATTCCAGGCTTTCTTAGGTGGTGCAGGACTTTGTCCATCCACAGTAGACATGTGTATTTAGTTTGAGGGTCCAGTCCAATTTTTCTTGGCTAGCGGCTAGCTGATTTTTGTTGAGGTACCACGGGCTTTGGCCAAGATGTGGTCAAAAGCTGGTAGAGATTTCAGGTTGGCAGATATATGCCCCTAATGAACATGCCGCTTTGCTTTTCTAAGCCGAGAGCTACAAGCCAGACCTCCAAGGCGAGGAAAAGGCAACCGTCACAAAGGGTAAGGAGTGTCTGAAGCGAATTGACCTGCTGCTGGTTTCCCAAGTTTGGTCCATTGGTGGCAGTGTCAAATTCAGGGATCCAAAGAGCTTCTATTTGGGTACTTGGCCCCTAAATGAATCCCTGAACACCCAGATAGCACTTGGATAGAAACTAGGGGACCCCAAGAAAATGGGCGACTCGAAGCAGGCCCATCAGGCCTCCTCCCCCGCCCACCGGCTCTGAGCCGAAGGGTGAGGCATTGATCAAACGCCGCAAGGACCTCTACGAAGTGCTGGGCATCCCGGAGGATGCCGATGAGGCCACCATCAAGAAGGCGAGTCCTCGAGTCCTTTAAGGGTCTCACGGACAGAGGGGGACCAGCCGCAGGGTGGGATGATGAAGGGGTTTTTTGCAACCACTTCTGTACAGGGAATCCCCGGTTTAAATGGGGGGGTAGTCTTTGGGGGACCTTGTTCTTGTATCACAGAAGTGGCATTTCCCACAGCCCCGACCAGTCGGGGAACAGCTGGCCTCTTCAGTAAGGCTGCAAGTTTATGGCGACTCGCGGGCACGGGTCTTTAGATCTTGAGCACTTTTTGGTTGAAACAGGAACCGGATTCTCCGCATTGGACCCACAAAAAGGTCATCAACTTTTTGCAGAGGGGCCAACCGCCAACAACCACAACGCAATTGTGCACACTGGGTTTGATCAATTTGAGGGTGGGAGCATTTGGAGTGCTTGCTTTCCTTCCAGGTCTACAGAAAGCTGTCCATTCAGCGACTTGGACATGCCAAAGTTGGCAAGGGATTATCGGGGGTGAGGCTCAAAGTGGATTTGGTGAGTGAGCTGTTCCTTGCTTGAAGACCAACCGCTGCCGGTGGCATTCACGCCAGAAAACTGCCTCGCCGAATATTGTGAGGGATCTTTGGGCACGGTCGCATCTGTCCAACCCCAAAATCACGATTTTGGTCTCCATCCCCCCCCCCCCCCAAAGAAAAGAGGTGGAGGCGTCAGAAAACAACAGGTCTGTCCAACAATGATGGAACTGGATAAGTCCCCAAGCCGAACATCGACTTCGAAAACACCCTCCTGTTAGCTTCCATGATTGCTCCATGTTTGTCTTTCAGACTCACTTGGTTGTGGGTCAAAACCAATGGGATCCCATTTTGGGATAGGTGCACCACCCATTTTAGAACCTATTTTAGTGGGGATTGCGATGTTCATTGGGGGTACGGGGGTTCGATCTTTTGACCTTGGGGTTTCCAAGGCGGATGCGGAGATGGAAACGGATGGACTTTGGAAAGGAGCGGTAGGCGTTTGATGCATTCCGGCTCACGTGGACATGGCGGCTTTGGGCAAGTGAGCAGTGGTTCCCAAAGCTTAACCTTTCATTTCCAGGTGCTTGGGGCCAGCGAGCCGCCTTTTCATGTTTTTTGTTGGGAAGCATTTTAAGTTTTTGCTCATTGTGGTTTAGTGGAAAATCCCAACTGAACTGCTAAACTTTAATTTGTTGCTCCCCATTCAACGTCAACCAAGTTTTGGACAAGCCAATGCAAAGCAGTGAGCTTTCACTGGACATGAGTTGCTTCTGTTAGGCTTGTACAAGTAATTTGACACTTGCTGATGATGCGAGTTTGGCCAGTGAGTACATAGCGGGCCCTGAAACTTTTGGGTCGACCTGAGCTTTCTCTTGGTGTGATATCATTTGGTTTGCTTGTTTTATTGGCTTCAAGCCCGTTTAATTTCCTCTACTTGGGAATCTGCCATTTCAGGTTTGCAGTTATTGTGAAATTCAAGGATTTAGTTGCAAGTGACTCAAACAAGGTCCGAAGGATAAATTTGGGCCAATTGAAACGTAAGCTAAAGAACCCCCTTGCAAAGCTGGTGTTTTGTTTTCTGGTGTCTGTTTAAAAAACATAAGCTTTTTTTTGGTTCTGTTCATCTTCAGGTTTGGGGGCTGCAGAAAACAGTGCCAGTTTTTCTTTGTTTACCCAGCCATAGAAAGGGTTGGACAGGTATCCTTTCAGGAACCCCTTTTTTGAGATTCCCCTTGCTTGGCATGGATTGGTGGCTTGGATTTGACATGGATTTGACCCCTTGGTCCTTGTAGCTATTGTTTAACTGGAAAGCCACCTCGGAACACCACCGGAGCTCAGGTACCATCCAGATAAGAACCCGGATGAGGCATCCAAGGCGCGATTCGCGGAGGTCCGCCGCTCGCTTGCATTGAGTCATAGTCTACCGACCCGGATTCAAACGATAAATTTGGTGAGGTCAATATGGGTTCAAGTCAAAGCTATACTGCTATACTATTAATTTGGAATATCAACATTTCGTCTGAACTGCAAGTTGGTTTCTACCCTGCTTAAGCGGCGCGCACGCCCAAGGCGATGCCTATGAGATCCTCAATGACCCCGATAAGAAGATCCTCTACGACACAGGCGGGCACGTGTTTGCCACGTGTGGCAATTGGCGGATCGGCACGCGCGGAGTTGCGGGCACGCCGCAGGATGTGCCAAGACGTTGAGGCAGTGATTCTGTGGATTTGCTGTGTGGCTGCATCAAACCTGGGATTCCATCCAGAATGGAAAAAGCGTGGTTGGTTTTCCGTTGGATTGCCTTTAAAGCTTTCCCAGATTGGACAGAACAAGTGTTTACACCTATTCCTATCGCAAGTTGCCCAGCCAGAAACGCTGCAAACACACCTCTGGATAGAATAATGCTCAACGCTGAAGGTGGTGGGTGCTTTTGCCCGGGGGGGGGGGGGGGGTTGGGGAAATTGTATGAGTGACCCACCCTTGTTGAAAGCTTCTTCTATCCAAATGTTGGCACCACACTATGTGATAATGTGGATGGACGAAATCCTGCACCACCCAAGAAACCCTGGTTGTCGATTTTCCTGTAAGTACCAACAAACGTTATGGTTCCAACCATGGTTTCAGTTCCTGCGAAATTTATGTCAGCTCGTCAGGCGGCATGGGCGCGGTGAAGGACTCGGAGAAGGGGAAGATCGAGTCCACCGGGGACTTGAACTCCGCCCCTCGGCGGCCGTTTTAACACGGCGCATCGCTGCGAGGCGTCGAGGTTTCGCCGGTTCTGCTGCTGCATTTCGCCAAGGGGCGTTACGACTTGAGAACTTTCTGCCGATTAAAATGGGGTTTTCCGAATTAAGCCACTAAAAGTTAAAACCTTTTAGCAGGGGAGCAGAAAGCATCCGAGACTGCGTTCATGTTTGTTTGCTGGGTGGTTGGGAATCCACCCCCCATGAGGTTATACTATAGGTGTCATTGTTCTTGGTAGTGCTTGTTCACCTTGGCATTCTTCGTTTGTTGTTTGCTTTTGGTTTTTCTGGGTGGTTGGGAATCCAACCCCCCTGTTGTTTTTAGCTGATATTGTAGGTTTCATTGTTCTTGGTAGTTGGCTTGGTGTTTCTGCTCTGTTCATTTGCAGTGTGGGTACAAAGTTCTTGACTTGCAAGCGGGTTGAAAGCAGACGGTTTCACTTTGTTGTCGGGTTGTGATTTGTTTTTTTCCTTGGTTGGTTGAGGGATGGAGTTCATAGGATTCAAGACCCCTCCCCCTCCCCGGGCGTTTAGGGGAGTTGGATCCTATGAGAAGCGGGTATGCTCTTGGGAAAATCGACTCCCCGGTTTAGGCAAAGACACGTGGCTTTTAACTGCCCGAAGTTAGCAAAGCCCAGAAACGGACAAAGCTAGACAACACGCCAAGAACTGTGAAGTAGTGGTTTTGGCCCGGATTCCATAAAATTTTAGGTTGTGCCGCCGTAAACCGTAAACAATGCTTTCCCCACCAAAATCGAACTGCATCAGAACTGGCAGCCCGTGGGTGAACCGCATAGGGGGGGCAGGCCAAGCTGTTTTCATTCGACAAAGCCTTGGGTGCTGTGTTTGTCATACGATTTGCTTATTACCCCTTAGCCAGGTACTTTCCAGACCCCCCCTCCCCATTTGGGTATGGGTCAAAATTAAGTCCATGTTTCCATTTGCCAGGGCAACCCATTTTGGGTACCTATTTTTGACCCACCGCCACATGAGAAGAACACAAACACAGTTGGCCACTGATGGGCGTGTCGTTTCGGAGGGAGCCAAAAGGACTTTCCAGACCCCCCCTTCCCATTTCAGGCCTCCGGAAAAACACACCTCGGCATGTCTTCCACGGGAAAGCTTGCAAGGAGATCGAGGTGGGATTGGAGGACTTCTATCTGGGGAACCAATTTCAGGCCATGGCGACCTGGCGAAGCGGCGAAGCGCTGGACTGCGATTGGGTAACGGATCTTTAGACTTGAGCTTTTTGGCGGAAAAATCAAGTTGGGTTTTCCACAGGTCCACAACCCCGAAAAAGTGAAAACATGTTTTGCAGGTTTTCCACTAAACCCTCAAAAAGTGAGAAGCTTTTTGCAGGGGGGTCAACAGCAACCATGGCATGCCTAAGTTTTTTCCATGATGCGTTTTCGCGGCCCGCGAATCGACCAGATATGACCGGGTCTGGTTCCCCCAAAATTGGGGTCTCCACTTGTTAGTGGCCCGAAAAGGTGATGGCCGTTTTTTGGTGTCTGGGTCCTGCTCGTTTTGATAAAATCTGTCACTACTGTTCCTTACAGCCGTAAGCGAATGGAGGCTTTGATCCACTCACTCCCTGAGTTCACGGACTTTAGTCGCTTTTTGGGTTTGGACCGCTTTGGTGGCGGCAGCACAAAAGGTGTGGTTCCTCTTTTTGGCCTTCCGTCCACTCGATCGGAAGTGAGTCCTTGAAGACCAAGCCGGTGGATTTTTGGATTTAATCCCAGGCCGGGGGTGTTTTCTTTGGCTTCACTGTTCTTGGCTCAAGCTGTTTGCTTCCCCCCCCTCCCCCTTTTGGTTGTCGGTGTTCGGTTCATTTTTCGGTTTGGGGGCTGCAAAAAGACCGAACCCGTTTGTTTTTTTGTTTGCCAAGCCGTGCCAAGGGTTGTGAAGTTTCACCTTCTCGAGAGGGGGGGTCCCTTGAACATCAAACACAAGTGCACGGTTCTTCCCCATGGCGCTGGGGTCTATGGCGCTGATCAGGTCGTTTTTTGTTGTGAGACCACAAGCTGGAAACAGCCACCATGTCTGTCAGATGCCTTGTCGACAAGTCTTTGGTTTGGGGAAAGTATTTTCTGTTGTCCAAGTGAGGAGGCTCCTTAGGTAGTTGTTTATTGTCTTTGTTGTGCACCCAACAAGCCCATCTATTGGCTTTGGTCAAGGGGCATTTCATGTTCCAACAATACGGCTCGTCTTTTGCATCGGTGCCCCTTTGGAAGTGGTTGCACGGGGAAGCCCAAGGCAAACAAAGCATTTATCGGGTCCCCTATTTTGAAGACGCAGCCACATGGACTAGGCAGTTTTGCCATTAGCAATCACATCAGGAGCATGATGTGTTTGGTGAGTATACCCATGAGCAGTTTCTGTGAAGGAGCTTCTGATCAACCCTTCGGATCATACTCCTTCAGGACATGGTGATAGTTCGGCAACGGTGGGAGGGGAACAAACAGCATTGAGCTGAAGCAACGACAAATATGCATCGCCATCTATTCGGGGATGGTTTGGGAGGGGGGGGGGGGCTCATAAAATACCACTGGGAAATGGCCTCACTCCCTGAATTCCGGGACTTTCTAGTCGCCAACACAAAGTTACTGACCAAAATCCCATGTCACTTGGGACCGTGACTCAGCTGTGCGCAGACTGAGGTAAAGAGGGGCATTGCCGGAAGCCTCAGAGGGCGCTGGTGTTTGTCGATGCGAGCCTCAGTGATTCCACTTGTCATGGTCGTCGTTGGGAAACATGTCTAGCATTTTTTTGCTTCCTGTGGTTTAGTGGTTGAAATCCCCACATCCAACCACCTAACCGCTAAAATTTAGTTTTTTGCTCCCCTTCCCACGTCAACCAAGTTGTGAGGTGTCCGAAACCCAAGCCGGATCCAGCCTCAAGAAGCTCGCGGCTACGAACTGCTGAACTGGGCGCTGCTTGCGCGCGGCGTTCTGTTGGGTCCGGCGTCCCCTGCTTTTGGTGTGTGTGGCGCCTTACGGACGTGACGACGGAGGGAAGGTATCCCCATCCCCTGCTTGGATGTACTTGAAGGTGGGTGGAAGTCCACAGCCATGAAGGGGGTGAGTGGGGAAAAGGAAAGTCATGTGGCTGCTCAAACAGATGTACCAAAATGGCACCTTGGTAGACGGAACCTCAAGACTAACACCTGCGTAGCGCTGGCCCTTTAATGTTGAGCCACACCCATGTATAGCCAGGGATAGGGATGCTAAGCTCCTGCCCCGAGGTGTGCCGGGGCTGCCGCAAGCACCCAGACTCCCCCAACTGCAAGGCAGGCACTCAGCAACTTTTGCCCCGACTTTTGCGGTTTTCCTTTTTCCTTTTGTGTGGCTGAGTCGAATGCGAATCGACCTTTGAACTAGACCCCTTCAACAGAGTCCAATTGAAGTGGTTCCAGCTTGCGCCATGAAACTGGCCCACCTTGGGGCTCTCCTTGCTGATTTGCTGAGTTGTGCGTCCCAAAAAGTCAAAACCTTCCCGCGCCAAAATCGATGACACCCGTGCAAAATCCGCGTCCGCTAGGCAGATAGAGAGCGTATGCCCAGTTTCCTCTTTGGGGGTGGTGTCTTCGGGCTATTGGCAGATGCGTAAACAAGAGCGCACTGCTGGGGAGAAAGTCAGCGAGTCCATGAGGCAAGCGATTTTGTGAGGAAAGCGTCCTGTTGTGCTACTTGGCGAGCAGTAATTGTGAATGCTGCAAACCAGTTTTAAGTTCAAGAAGTAAACCTTTGTGACCACGATTCGTGCCCAAGGCTGAGATGAGCACATCACACTGGTGACGCACCCTTGAAGACAAGCACTTCCCTTGGTTCTAGGGGTTGGTTCCCCATTCTGTTTAACCATCGTTCTTTTCAAGCACCAGCTGTTTCGCCAGGGTGGTTTTTAGAAAGAAATTCGGATGCCTGGAAAGAATGGACATGGAAGCTACCCCTAGATTGCTGTGATGTGTAGAATCGGGAAAATGGCGGGAGCCTTGTCTTCGGTTTGGCGCGTTGACTTCAAATCCGCAGGTTGAAAATCGAATCAATCACAGCAATCCCTCCCTTTGTCTCACGGGACTCTCATTCTCCAGATGGGTTCTCCGTGGGTTCTCCGCTTTTTTAAGAGCCCTCTTTGGTTGGTGTTCAAGCGAAACCAACAGGAAAGCCATGTAATCTTGTTGGACTTCTCGAAAAAAATCATTTGCTCTTTTCTTATTCCCATGGTTGTTCCTTGTTGTTTGCTTTGAAGCTTGTCGAAGGTGTGATTCGCAACCAGCTGAAGGCAGTCAAGCCACTCGTCTTTCGTCCGTTTCCCGCAGCCAAGAAGCCGCGCGTCAGGGCTGCGGAAGATGTAAGAACCAGATCAAGGCCGGAGACTTTTCTGGGGTGAGAGGGCGAAATAGCCTGCAAGCTTTGAATGGTCCAAAACCGAGATTAGTATCATTCTCTTTGTCCAGACCTCCCGCCCATTTGACACTGGTGAGATTGAGCACCTGGGACGGGGGGTGAACACCACCGAGTCCATCTCCTTCACTAAATCTGACTGACCGGTTCCGGCTTTCAAATGGTGCTTTTGTGCTTTCAAGAGATGAACGCCCTTCATCCCCATGTCCTTCAAAGTGAGCAGGAGTCCTGGAGAGGCCAATGTTCGAATGTCTCTTTAGTGATGTTCGGAACTTCTTGAAGCCTTGTGACAGAGCCCTTGCGAGCAACGAACCCCTCCCGGCCTGGTCAAAGTTTCCAGTCCGCGGTCGAGAGGGAACATGAAAGACTCAACTGCCCTGTGTCCACTACCTCCTTGTCAATTCTCCCAGTCTCTGGACTTTCCCCAACCTGAGTTCCAGGCTGCTAGATACGTTCGGGGAAGGCCATGTTAGTGGTACATAAACTTTGGTGCATTTTGCTTGGCTTTTAGGACTTTAACTTTTTGCCAACTCATGGGTTTTCCACTAAACCACTAAATGTTCAACTTTTAGCAGGGGAGCAGAAAGCAACCGAGTTTTAAAGGTGTGGACTTGTTTTGACCGTTTTTACTCATGACTCAGGAAATTCGGGTTGCATGGCACTTGACCTGGGTGCGTGCCTTGGTTACGGGCCTTGCGCGGGGCTCCAATAATGTTTAGGTCGTATATTGGGTGCGTGTGAAAATTCGGGGTCCCCAAAAGTTGCAGGTTCCCGTTAAAGCCATTAGAACTACGGCATACAAACGCATCTTTTATGTTTAGCATCGTGGATCATATTTTTGGGCCTATGCAAAATGAAACTCCTTGAAGTGGGGTGATGCAAGGGGTGAAGTCATGGAGTGCCTCTACTCACTTGCCCAAAGCCAACCTTTTGACCTTTTGGTTTTCCAAGTTTGGTCCATTTTTAGTAAAGGTCCCAAAAGGTTCACCTTGTATTTCCAGGTCCTTTGGGCAAGTGAGTCTACTTTCGCCAAACAACTAGGGTGAAGTTTTTGTTTGCTGATAAAAACAAAAACAACGAATCACGAAACAAATCGAGAGCCCTTCAGCAGAGTCTGAACTTCGGGGAAGGGGAGGGGGGAAAGTTGCCTTTGAAAAGAGAGCACCGTCGCGTTTTGCGGGTTCTATTGAAAGGACAGTCATGCGGGTAACATTTGCAGAGGAAGCGATGGGTCTCGCAACGTGTTGGATGTCCGTTTCCCTTATTTGGTCGCCCAGTTTTGATGTCCAGGTCCTTTTGGGAAGCTTCTGGGGTTCCACACCAGAGAGAAAGCGAGGGAGGGAGGGAGGGAGGGAGGGAGGGAGGGAGGGAGGGAGGGAGGGAGGAAGGAGGGAGGTGCGAGGGAGCGAGGGAGCGAGGGAGCGAGGGAGCGAGGGAGCGAGGGAGCGAGGGAGCGAGGGAGCGAGGGAGCGAGGGAGCGAGGGAGCGAGGGAGCGAGGGAGCGAGGGAGCGAGGGAGCGAGGGAGCGAGGGAGCGCGTGAGCGCGTGAGCGCGTGAGTGAGTGAGTGAGTGAGTGAGTGAGTGAGGGAGCGAGCGAGCGAGCGAGCGAGCGAGCGAGCGAGCGAGCGAGTGAGTGAGTGAGTGAGTGAGTGAGTGAGTGAGTGAGTGAGTGAGTGAGTGAGTGAGTGTGTGTGTGAGTGAGTGTGCAAGGGAGGGAGGAAGGGAGTGCGCGAGGGAGGGAGGAAGGGAGGGAGATAACAGAGAGAGAGAAAGAGAGAGAGACAAAGAGTTGCCAAAAGAAATCGCGGGGCCAGGTGGTGCAGGTTCAAATGGGACCCTTCCTCACCCAGCAGCAGCAGGAAGTGCCCAGCAAGGCACCTTTGGGTGGCAGATGCGTACATCCATATCCCCCTTAAAAGTGGAATCGGGGGAGAGGGGTAATTAACTCCTGGAATTGCCTTTGTGGTTCCGTGTTCCTTTTTCATTGGAAAATTTCAGGAATGAAGTTGGGACCCTCACCCCCCTTCTCCAGAAGTAGGGGGGATATGCGTACCCTCTGTTTTACCTGGCGCCACTGTTTTGGCACATACCCATATGAAACCCATATTAGAGCCGGTCATTCTTGTTTAGCAGGATTGTCCTTTAGCCTAGGGCCCACAAAAAGCGTTCAATATTTTGCAGCACGGTCTCGCCAGCCCCAGTGGCTTCCACAAATTCTGGGATTCCCCCTCGCAAGGGTGTTTGCACAACCCAGACTCACTTGACTACCCCCCTTGTTGCTTGGCAGATTCGTGGTACATCTCCACTTTCTCTACCAAGGGAAGCCCCTGACAAATCAGCCGTTCGGCCCGGTCGGAATCCCATCGTGTCACAGGCATCCTCATCTGAAAATGCCACCCCTCCCACCCCCAAAAAAAAGAGGAGAGTGCCCTGGTTTCCTTTTGATAAGGCCTTATTACAGGGTTTCCTCCGTTTCCCTTTTTAAATCCTCCAAAAGTGGCATGTTCAATGGAAACGAGTCCCCTGTATTGGGGTCTTGGGAGGCTTCGGGAGGTGTTCGAATCCCAGTTTCTGCCACGGAAGCGAGCTGCAAGGCTCTTTGTAAGCGCTGCTCCGCCAGGAGAAGTGCAAACAAGTGGATGCCCCGCTGGATGTGCACATTGAGAGCCCTGACTGCAGGGATCGCTCCGTAGGGTCCTTGAGGTTGGAAGCATCAGATTCGCCTTTTCTGGGCTGGTGTTTTATGGGGATGTCGTTTGGCGGCTTCCACTGCCCCGCAACCACTATATATATATATATATGGACCCCCTACACCCAATACCCACTTTTGTCAGGCTATGATGTCGACCCTCTACTAAAAAAGCAGGTATTTGGAGTAGGGGGTATATATAATTATATATATATGGCCACCAAAAAATAGAAAAACATGCACTGGTTTGGGTAGTGGTTGCACCATCTTAGATATGGCAACCACTTTTATAAAGGGCTTATACTCCAGCTTTTTTTTGAGGGTGGGTTGGGGGTGGTTGCACCTAGCTATGGCCGTGGTCAAAACCAATGGTACCATTTTGGGGTCACCACCCATTTGAGGCTTCCTATTTTTAGTGATTGGATTGGTGGATGTTCGCTGGTCCCTCCGAGGAAGGGGATGTCCAGCGGGGACTCCCTCACCTTCCCGCGCATGGCTGAGGCCCGGGCGTCTGCTCAGGTGCTGTGGCCCACGGACCCCAAAAAATGGGCCCCAACCGTCCACCGTTTGCCGCGGTTTCAAGAGGAAACCCCCAAAAATCCTCTGAGATCCGCACAAAAAGGCACTACAAGGTTGCATCTCCTTGTGTAGGGTGGTTTGGGGAATGGGTTTCGCCTCCTGGGAAGGAGGGGTTCCTGTCGCAAAACCGGGCCATTCTGCAGGTAAGAGGGTACCCCAGGCTACGCACGCTCTTGAGAAATCCGAAGGTCACACTAGTTTGGTGATCTTCACTGTTGTTGGCATAGTTTTTGGATTTGTTCTGATTGGTTCTGTTTCTTTCTGTATGGGGCTGCCAAAAAACGGAGCCAGATGTTTGGCACCATACCAAAATGATGTTCACCTTACTTTAAGGGCCAAACCGCGTGCCCCATTTTGAGAATCGCCTCCAACATGTCATAAGCGAGAGCGCCAAACGAGCCACACCCCGGGTAGGTGCCCCTGATATATGTAGATGCACATGTACATGCATATTCATTTACGTAGACCCCATAAACCTCCATACAAAAAGGCAACCGGCATGTAGACTGAAGTGTTTTTGGCTGACACCTATAGCAGGGTCAAGTGTTAGAGCTCTTAGGTTAAGATGAGTTTGTTGGCTACCACGATTCCGCGGATTTCCTTTGGGGCCTGCGGTGAGGACGAACCAGCAGAACAAAAGGCCCCCTCGCTCCGTTGGCCTCCCTCCCCAAGCAGATGCAATCGAATCGCATTGCTCGGTTTCTGAACCTGATGCATTTGCTGAGCTTGACCGACGGCTTGTGTGAAGGCTGATGGAAGGGTTTCGAAGACTATAGTCCTATGAAAAGGCTGGCAGCTGCCCACTTCCATTGTTGCAAAGAGGGTCGCCCAAGTCTTGTGGTCCTTGCCCCTCTGGAAAGCGTAGCCCAATTCTTGTGGTCCTTGCCCCTTTGCATGGAACGGTCGCCCAATTCTTGTGGTCGCTCTCTGGAAAGCAGCCCGTACTGTGGATGGACGAAATCCTGCACCACCGTTCAGAAACCCTAGAATGATATGATCCCCAACGTAAATACCAACAAGCGTTATGGCTTTCCCATGGTTTCAGTTCGTGGTGCCTAAGAGGATTTCACGTCCATCCAGAGTATGGGTCCGTCTTTTTGGAGGCTACCCATTTCTTCACTGTTCTTGGCATGTTTTTGGTTTTTGTAGTTTTTTGGTTCTGTTCATTTTTGCTGGGGGTCTGCAAAAAACAACGTTTTTTGCTACCATACCAAGAGTAGAGATGATGTGCTTGTGCACGAAGCCACAGGAGCGGCCAGGCATGCTTCCAGGCAGCGTGATCCTGAAGCTCAAGGCCGGGAGGATCTGATGAGAGCTGCGAGACTCGGCCCAGCGATCGGGGCCCTTTTGTTCCGTTTCGTTTTTTGGTTGGGAGGACACCCCCCTACTAAAATAGATTTTAGTACAGAAAAAAGAGGGTATCCTTATTCTACCAGTGACTCCATGTGAAGCAAACAATAGAAAATACATTCGGTAACTGGGCCTAACTCTAATCATGTTTGCTTGCTGGTGCGATAGAATGAACCGTTCGGGTATTTCCGAAGAAAGAAACCACAAGGGATGGTTTATTTGCGGTCATTCCATTTCTCATTCCCTGCTCGGAACCAGCAAGGGCTCGATCTTTGAGGGGTTGAACAGGGAAGCCAACTAATTACTGTTGACCCCAGATGAATCAACCCCTGGACCCCTGGTTGATGAGGGGTGTGTTTGTCTAGGTCCCCCAGTAGTGCCCTTTTACCCTTTTTTGGTTGGGAGGACACCCCCCTACTAAAATAGACTACACAAAAAGAAGGGTGCCCTTATTCTAAGGTCTCTCCTGGAGGACCTAGTTGTGGGTTTATTGGAGATGAATTAAATCACTTTTGGAGGGAACACCCTAATAATCGGAAACCAAGAGAAGAACTGTGGATGGACAAAATCTGCTTTCAGCATCAGCTGGGATTTGTGGTTTATCAACCAGTGATCCAACCCAAGATGCAGGGACTCCACAAAACAAAACTCCACCCAGAAGAAGGGCCGAAATTTGGGCATGACTCCGCCTTGTTTCCGCGCCTAGGCTGTAACACTAGGCCTAGATTGAGGGTTTGGGCCCCTTAAATATTATAGTTCCAACATTTGTGGTTCGAAGCTTCTTGCAACTTGTGAGTTATAGTTGATGCTTGCCCTCGGATTAGACATTGCCCACTTCATTCTCGAGCCCATTTGTGGCACAGCGCGCTGCTCCGAAAATTTTCTGCGCGGCAGTTGTGAGCCGCATGTGTTAGCTGTTTGTTGCGGCCAAAAGACAATTCTAGATAACGGATTGGATGCGTTGTTCGTGGATTTCACAATGTGTTAGCCTTGTTGGTCCTTTTGATTGTAATATTTTAGTCCTCTTCTACTATTCTACATGCATGGATCCACAAAAGCCGCATCCAAACCGTATTCTAGAACAATTGCCACACGCAACAACGCGGTCATGCGCTCAAAGCAAGCCACGTCGCAATGTTGTTTTGTCCGTCGCAAAAAAGGTGCGCGAAGCCCCCTCCAGAACATTCCAGAACTAATGTCGCGCCTTTGTTTTTTTTCGGGAACGCCGCATGTGTCAACATAGGGAAAGCCGAAATATGGGTTGGTTTCCCTTTAAGCCACCCCCAAAAAGAATACTCTGACCAAGAAAAAGAACAACACACCCATATTCGCTATGCCGAGCGGCCCGATGCTTTTTTCGAGCCCTCCCGATTGGTTCGCTGTCCTTCAGCCAGGCAAGGAAGCACCCCAAGTTCCAACGCAACGGGAACGACCTCCACACCGCGCCCCGGCCCGTGCGAAGCGTTGGGCAAGATTTTGAGCAAAGGACGTCCGCGTTGTAGGGAAGCCAAAAGCATTCCCTTCTTTCACTCGTTTTAACAGCCGTAACCTTACGTAGGGAAATGGTCGCTTTAGAAGGATGATGGTCCAAACCAGGACTGCCAAAAGAACGTCAGGTTTCATGTTAATAGGAGGCAGGGTACCAAACTTAGCGGACTTGTTTTTCACAAGTGTTGCCTGTTGTGGTTCCGTATTTGGTCTTTTCAATCAGCAACAAGTCTAATTTATAGCTTGGGGGTCTAAGTATTGTCAAGAAAGGAGTGGTTGAAACAAAAGTGGTTAAAACCTGTAGTGCTAACGCCGGATTGTCATAACCCCCCTTCCCTCCTTTCAAAGGTCACAAGGGTTGGCTGGCATTTGTCAAGGAAACCGAAAACCGTGGCGGTAAGCCAAATTCTTGAGGGATCCCCTTATTCCAGTTTGGACAGCAATTCGCCCAGATGTGTTCTTTCCTGAGTAACCACAAGAGGACATGAATGCGAAAGGGCCTCTTCAGTGGGCCGCGCAGTTGAATTTGGATCTGCAAAACACTTCCCAGTAGAAGACTCTTCTTTGGGGGCCCGGCTTGTTGGGTCCGTGGTAGTTTGCTTTGGGTGGAAGGGAGGGGGGGGAGTATACCCTTCACTGTTCTTGGCATGTGTTTTGGTTTCTTAGTTTTTTGGTTCCGTTCATTTTTACCGGGGGTCTGCAAAAAACAGTCAGTTTTTAGCTACCACACCAAGAGTAGAGATGCATTTGTGCCGTGGGAAATGGGTTGCTCGCAGCTTATCGTCGTTCTACCGGGTGCCTGGGATGTTCGTAACTTTCAACCCTGACCTACTTAGTCTCAGCCCAAAACCGACCGGATCTGACCTTTTGGTTTTTCCTTTTTGGTCTAGTTTTAGTCATGGCCCCAAAAGGTTAACCTTTTATTTCTGGGTCCTTTGGGCAAGTGAGTACTCGGTCCTCGGTAAATTCAAAGTGGCTGAGATGTCATAAAGTAGTTCTGCCTCACAGGCAAGCTAACCTTTCTACGTGCGTGCAAGAAGCCCATCAGGTGATCTTTCGGTGACGCTTGTTCGGGTTCCAAGGAGCACTTGCACATAGTGGCGTTGACCACAATTCCGGACAATTCCTGTTTTGGAGTTCCCCGGTCAGGGTTAGTTTGGAGGGAAACTAAAAGCATCCCAACAGTTTCGCGGTTCCACTTTGAAACAAACCCGTACCAACATTTGACCCCTCCAGAGTCGCATAGACTTCCAAAAAAGGGCCCCCAAAAAAACGAGCCGAAGACAGCTCGAGTGAGGGCTTAGTTTCTATGCGACTCGAGCACTGCCCGATTTGAATGCTCGTGTGATTTGTTTGCCCCACTTCGGGGGCCCCTCGAAAGCGATTTGGATCCTTTGTGAGTCTCCCAAGCGAAAAACTGTTTCGCACCGATTGCCACCGGTGTTTATCCAAATTGTTCACAATGCTAACTGGTCTTCCCAAACGCAGCAGCTTTACAAGTGGATTGAATTGGCAGCCCTTGAGTGTAGAATCGTGCGCATGGAAAGACAGGCGATAGGTTTTCCAACTGGGTAATTTCGTTCAGCAGTGCGCCAACTACACTGCACCATAAATTTCAAGACAGCAAAGTAGACGTCACTTCCCCGTATCCTGAGGTTCATTGGAGGCAATCCTTGAGGCTTACCTCTTAAAACCACAACTTGTCTCAACTTTTGGGTAACATGGGCTATATGTCTGTAAAAGATTAGCTTCCGGGCTTGGAGTTTTCAGGGGTAAGGAGCTCAAGCCATGCTTTCAGACAGGCTATCCGGTCAGCCTTGCATAGACAACTCTAGGTGCAGAAGCCAGGGGACTCCCGGGGGGGAGGGGGGTGGACCGCGGGACCGCTGAAATTCCATATGATCAATGGTCCCTTTTGTGTGTAAGACGAGAGAAACTTTGGTGCATTTTGCGAAAGGATGTTAGGACTGGATGACTTTTGGCCAACGAATTGGGGTTTTCCGTGCTAAACCACTAAAAGTTAAACTTTGAGCAGGGGAGCAGAAAGCAACCGAGGAAATGGAATTGGGGGACGCCCCCGGAAGATAGGGAGGAGATCTCATTTTCCCATGTCCAGCACAAAAAACTGCATGAAGGAATGCAGGAGCTCCCGAATTTATAGTTCCTGTCCCCCGACGGCTTCATTTGACTGTACAAATTGGTGGCTCTTTGTGTAAGAATCCTTTTGCTCCAAATTCCGTAGGGGTTCATCCATTCATCCGACCATACATCCATCCATCCATCCATCCATACATATATATATATATATATGTATACATACATACATACATACATGCTTACATGCATGCATGCACGCACGCATGCATACATACATACATACTTACATACGCTTACATACATACATACATACTTACATACATATATACAGAAGACAATATACATATATATATATATATGTATACATGCATACATACATACTTACATACTAACATACCTACATATATACAAAAGGCAATATTTGCATACATACATACATACATACATACATACATACATACATACATACATACATACATACATACATACATACATACAGACATACATACATACATACATACATACATACATACATACAGAAGACAATATATATACATGCACAGACCAGTCAAGGCGTGGGGTTGGGGCGGATTGTTGGTTGTTGGGCCCAAGGACCTGACCATCAGCCTGAAAGAGTCTCTGCTGGGCTGGACACGCACGCTCACCCACTTGGATGGACCGGCGACGGCTTCGGTTGAAAAGCTGGGAATGGCCCGGTGGCCCACTCCGAAACAGAATACGCCTTCGTGAACAGTAAAAGGGAGCATGGGAAAGCTTCTGAATAGACTTTATGTCCAAGTGCTTCGAAGGAGATAGGAAGGGACCTGTTTCAAACAGGAGGTTTTTAAGGCTCATGCGCCTTCCACCAACAAAATGGACATCTTCTTTTCCATTCAAAGCATTTGTGCACTTCCAGGTTGTTGGTGGGGGGGCGGGGGTAGATATGAAACATAGTCTCGCTACGTCTTTTCCAGGCTTCTTTTTTTGGCCAAAACAGAATGTTGCTTTGGCTGGTCTACAATCGCAGGACACGCAGTCGAAGTGAAGCAGATAGACTTCACAACAAGACATCTCCAGGCGGGCGGCCCGAAACCTGTCCTTTCTTGGAAAGGCCTGTTGCCCTCCCAGCACTCTAACTCTCTAACTATGACAGGGTATTTGCGAGCAGGAATCCTGCAGCTTTTTTTTTTGGTCTCTCAAGTCTTGCGTGATTTCCTACGTCCTAAGTTGTGTAACATGGTCCCAACCAAGGTGATGCCCGCAATGGCGAACCCCAGGTGTGGGCGCGCCCGAAGAAAGGTGATAGCCTGGATATCAGGGTTAACTCTAGGTGATTCTCATGTCTAATCTGTACCTTTCTCTTCCTCATAGCATATCTTCATATGTTTTATATATCTGTCCATCTTGAATCTCATAAATACAGAATAAAAAGAAAGAAATAAACAAAACCTATCAAAAACCAACAGATTCCAAGGATAAGAACTGAGAAGAAACATAACCTCCAAGCTGTATCTCTTTCCAAATCTTCAATCTAGTCCCCAAGCTTCGCCATCTCCCTTCACTTTGGGTTTCTAGAGGTTGAAGAATCCATAAGATGTAGAAAAGCCTGTAATCTAAGGTAAAGATAAGTTACATGAAGGTAAAGGAATTAACAGAGATTATTTGTAGGTTTACATCTCGCTAACTCCTGGACGCTCTGTGGCCCTGCCGTTCTCTGCGGCGTCCATGCGGGTGCCACTCGCACTTTGAGCAAGATAGGAAGACATTGCCAGAGGGATTGTGCTTGCGTCCCGATGCCACACGTGTTCCCATGTTTTTTTTTTGTACGGATATTGATGCTGAATCCGCAAAAGGGCACGATGCTTTCCAGCGTAGCCAGGAGAATCTACTGCCACCGCTGTACTGCTAGGCATGTTGTTCTGCGGCTCGGTAACTTTTAAGCAACACTCGAGAAGGTGTGCCGTGCTTCAAGTTCGTCAAGTTCAGGAGTTGGTTGCGCTTGGTTTGTGTCAGCTTGGGTATGCCAAGTGGTGCTTGACGCACGATACCAGTTGCACCTTCGAACGAACAATACATAGAGTACATGCAAGCCGCGCCAAATCGTCCACATGGCATTACTCCCACAACACTGCGCCTCAGTTGCTCGTGTATTTGCCGATTCCATTTTGTTGATTGCAGGTGAATGGGTGTGGAACAGCCAAGTGGAAGCGTCCTACCCGGAAAAAACAAAAAGAAAGCAAACAGCGCCGTGTTGCAGAGCTACCTGACTCGTTTAGAGCCAAAACCCATTTCCCCCCTCGACAGGGGGGGGACTGCCTGATGTGTCCTTTCGCTGCCTACACCTTTTTGAAAATTGGGGGAGGAGGCCCCCCTTGAGGAGGAGTTTGCTTGTCTCCAAATGGCACTGGGGTCATTAGTTTGACGGTTTCTGGTGGTTATCCAAGTCACAAAATGGGGTTGTGTCCCTTTAACCCAGCACTTACAAACTAACTTTGATCATGATAAAATAATGAGGCCAGTGGTACTGTGGATCCTTCTCCCTTAAAACATTGGAGATGTGCTTTTGTTTTCTCTAAAGACTCACCCCGCAAAAAAATCCAACTCAGAGATCAATGCACCTGAGTGGCAACACTGCCGCTGTGGGAGGACGTGATTACATTGCAGCAACTTCATTGTTCTTAGCAAATGGTTTTGGTTCCTTGGTGGTGCTTATCTTTTTTGGGGGGCCCCAACAGCCAAGTTCGTTGCAACCAGACGGGTTGGAAAGCCAAAGCGCTCCGGTGCTTTCAACTCTTCAGACACACCGTTACGTCTTGTAAGCTTCAGGAAGGATCATTCAATGTGCCCAGGCCGGCGTACTAAATCCACACTTTCAACCATCGAAGCCTATGAACTCCATTTGGGTGTGGCTTTTTAGACGACCTTTGTGTTGAATGCAGGGGGAAACCACTCATAGGTCCCGGTTCCATATCCTTTGAGATAAATACAGAGGATTCATAAGTTTAGACGCGTCCGATTTCACCCCTGGTGCAACTGAAACTATTTCAGGTGTCTCTTTGAATTCAGCTAGCACCAAAGACGCTGGTTTCTTCCTAGGGTGTCTACAACTAACTTCCTGAGTTGCTGGACTTTCATTTCATTTCTTTTTGGGAAGAAATGTTAGTGGTAAATAAGTAGAAGTTTGGACTTTTTGTGGCCACCCCAATCAGAAGTGTGTCCACCTGGAGTCTCCTTCTGACCCTTAAAAATGGTTGATCATGACCCGAATCTAAAAAAATGGGTAATGACCAACACCATTTTCTATTGGTCAGACTCGGAGACTCCAGGAAAACCAGCGCCCACACGTCCCCAGTGCCGTGTCCTTCAGGTGGTCAAGGTGCGTGGTGAGGGTATGCCACTCCGGGACGACCCCGCGAGCTTTGGGGATTTGCATGTGAAGGCCGGTTTGGACGAGGTTTCCTCCAGTTTTCGGCTTAAAGGGAAACCGAATGAAACCCACAGCCATAGTCAAAACCGATTCGGGTAGAAGGTTAGTAAGGGACAATCCAAACTATAAGTAGCTGCGGATATCCGCCTTCTTAATTCTTGAAGCATGGTTCTGGGTAGACCATTTCAATACCGGGGTTTGATTGTGACTCACATCTTTTGTCGGGGTTCCCCTGTTAGCAAGAGGTTTGCAACAATGAAAATTATTCCATTTGTTGGTTTCGTGTGGAAGGAAACCCCGTGGTTGGGTCTTCAGCCAGACTTTGGCCGACTTGGGGAACAAGGAGGTTGCTCAAAGAGTTGGGGGTTCACACTCAATCCCAGATGGACCCTTGTCCCCTTTGGTCACATGGACCATACTTGGCATACCGCGAGTTCTGTGTTGTTCCTTTCTAGTATTTGTGGAACCCTGGGTTGTTAGTGAAACCTGTTCGTTTTACTGGTTTGTTTCGGGGCGTGTGTTTGGTCATGTGGTTCTGATCGATTTGGGTGCCTGCAAAAGAAAGACATATATAACACATGGGGCTTTGGATGGGTTCCAGAAAATGAGCACGTGGGGTTTGGCTTGTGTGCTGAATATGATCCGCAACCAAGACCTTCCGCTCAGCAAAGAGAACAAGTGCATGAGCAGCGATGTATTAAGCGTGCGGCTCAGCTCGGGCACTCTTCATGCCTTTGGCCGGGTCCGGCCGGGAGTGCACATCCAGCAAGCGGCCCCTTTTATACACTCTTTTCCTGGTTGGCAAAGGGCGATCATGTTTGAAGTTGACGCAGCTCAAAAGAAAACATCACACTGATCAATTGACAGCCGGGTGTCCCAGATTGGAATAGTTGTTTCTTTCTTGTTTGTTTGGGGGATTCTCGTTAAATCTGCCATGTGTGATATTGCGTGATCCAGGGTTCAGCATTACCAAGGTGTGGAGGCTTTAATTTCTTGTCAGGGCTCGGAATTGAAATGTTGAAAGCAGAAAGTCATGTTTGGTTCCTCCGCGACATTTATTCACATGGAACGCGGAAAACACCCACGAAGGGAAACTCCGAGCCCCCTTTTTGAGTTCCATGTTAATTTGCAGGGGAGGGGGAGTAATGTAAATCACCCTCTTAGTAGGGACGAGATCTACTTAGATCCGGGGTCAGCATTAAGATTTGTGTTTTCCTTGGTTGGTTTCATTTGGTTTCCTTATGGCTACTTGATCTTTGGGCTATGTTTTTTGCGAGTCAGTGGGATTTTCCATTGGGCTCACAAGTTAAACTGATTGCTGAGGGGTCTCGCCAGCAACCAAGTTTTTACGTCTAGGGGACTTAGCTTGGGACGGATTTTTTCCCAGCCGTCCCTTCAGCTTTTTAGCGGTTTTTGGTTGGATTAGTGGTGGCTGCGGTCCTCCATTCAACCCACAGAAGGGTATTCAATTTTTGCAGGGGGTCTAAGGACGGACCTTGGGAAACTTTTAATGGTTAACAACAAGTTTGGACGTTTTTTGACCCATCCACTCAGCCAAGATCCGAACGCCCGGGGTCAGGTCTCAGTGGATTTTCCCAAGCAGCTCACCAGGGAGCAGCGAGCACCTTTGCGAGAAAACTCCGGGGCCGAAGCCGAGTGCCGAGGGCGAAGCTAGGGGCATGTTCGGGTGACACCTGAATTCTTGGCCTTTCACTTCCCATGTTTGTGGCAACTACAAAAAGTCTAGACGTGTTTGAGCCAATCAACGGAAGTGAAGGAGTGAGGTTTTAGAGCGAGGGATGCTTAGATGCCACCAATATAAGCTTGAAACGCAGTTTATACCCCGTCCATTTCTCCAAAAACCATAGCTGAAACCACCCTTGAAAGAAGGTGGCCTTTTGGAGGATTTTATGGGTTCCCTTGGTGAATGGAAGGTCGTGTATGGACAAGGGGCCTCATTGTGATTTGCAGTTAGTTGTTTGACTACGGCGGGCTAGAGGGGGGTGAAATCATGATGAAGGTCGCTAAAGGCATTCCTTGCGTAAGGTCGGTGATTCACAGTAACTAGTATTCTGATAATGGTGTAGCAATTACTGGGAGTTACTAGGAAAGAGCATTTTCAAAATGAAAGAGCAACACACAATTGTTAGTTATGTCCGAAGTTTGCATGGTGTGTTTGCTTCTTGTTTCCCCATTTGTGGCCTGCAAGTCGATCTGCAGGTTGACAACAGCAGCCCCGTATGGGGAGTCGGCGCATTGAGTTTTGCCGTCGCTGAATGGGCGTGCATCGTGTTTTGAGGTTGTAGGCTGGGAAGCCAAAAGGACACCAGCCATGTCTTTCTGGGGGGAATTCCCTATTTCAAGATACACCCAACTCGCCCTTGGTGTCGAGAACCTTGGCTGCATGTGGCTTTTGAGTCACATCCTAAGGATGCAATCGCCCAAGTCTTCCCAGGCGCGAGTCAGGAGCCACGGGTTGTAACTTGGAAAGTCCATTTGGCTGTCGTTTTCAAGAAATGCCGGGACCTTGTGCACCAATCCTTGACCTCATGACACCATGGCTGAGACAGACTGAGATAAGGATGTTTCGTTTGGTAGCCAGAAGCGACGCAACCGTGAACGTCAATTTCACTGGACTGGTTTGCTGTGATCCCCGAAAACTCTCTTGGTTCTGTGAGGGCTCTCACCCATGTTGTAATGTTAGATAGCGATTAATAAAAAGGGAGTGAATACCGAAAAAAATAATCTCAAAATTATTCACTCTCCTGCAAAACAAAAAGGGTAGGTATTACAGAAACAAATCTGCCCGAAATCCCGAAAATATGCTCCCTTCCAAGAATGGACTATTTTTGAGGGTTGAAACGTTTGAGCCCAGCCAGAAATGTCCAGAACCTTTGGATTGCTTCCTGTCCCAAACCACCATATTCATCATCAATCCCTTTAATAGAAGATGCACCCTGACAAAGTTTCAAGGGGGTGGCACACGGAACCCCCAGGAAGGCAATAATGCAGTTGGGAATTGTGAAAAAAGAACCAGGGCAGCCTGCCAAGAAGAAAGCCCTGCTGTTCTCGGGTGAAGTCCGCAATGTCCAGAATCTCTGGGTTGCTTCCTGTCCCAAACCTCCAAATTCTTATCAATCCCTTTACTGGAAGATGCACCGGCACAAGGAACCCCCAGGAAGGCAATAATGCAGTTTGTTTAAGGGTAGGGAATTGTGAAAAAACAATAGCCAGGGCAGCCTGCCAAGAAGAAAGCCCTGCTGTTCTCAGGTAAAGCCAGAAATGTCCAGAATCTCTGGATTGCTTCCTGTCTCAAACCACCAAATTCCTTATCAATCCCTTTAATAGAAGATGCACCCTGACAAATTTTCAAGGGGGTGGCACACGGAAACCCCAGGAAGGCAATAATGCAGTTTGTTTAAGGGTAGGGAATTGTGAAAAACATGGCCAGGGCAGCCTGCCAAGAAGAAGAACCAATACTAAACCAATTCTAAACTGTAGTGGGTCAACTGAAAAGAATACTGAACTAATACTAAACCAATTCTAAACCGTAGTGAGCCAGCTCAAAGGAATACTAAACCAATACTGAACCAATTCTAAACCGTAGTCAAAGGAATACTAAACCAATACTAAACCAATCCTAAACAACAACTACTCAGGCAGGTCCCAGTCTGACCCCCATTTTGCTTTTGGGGTTTCGCTATTGACCCCTCCCCCAATTCGTTTGAGGGGGGGAGCCCTTTATTCATCACTCTCCAACATTACTACAGAAAAGTGACAAATTGCCAACGCCTTATACACACATGTCATACATGCTGCCCAATGTAACGGGGGTGCTGCGTTTTGGTTTCAGCTAAGGATGGCGAATTTGGCAGGGCGAGGTGCCCCCAATCCCCCAAGTGGGGCGCTTGCAAATGTTCGCCCTGACTTTGGGATTCCATGAGCTTCCGTCAGATGGCCGACAAGACCTATGAAAGCTTCAACCTCCGACCTCGATGCTCGGCTGGGATGGCAGTGGTGCCATGTGTCCAAACCCGTGCTTGCGGGCTTTCAACAAGAGAACTGCCGCTTGTGGAGTGGAGAGATGGTATTTGTTTTTCAATAGGTTGTGCATGTAGAAGGGGCGAGAGAATTACAACCATACTGTGGATGGTTGCGAACGAAATTCATCATTCCAGGGTTTCTGAGCGGTGGTGCAGGAGTTCGTCCATCCACAGCATTTTTTCCCAAGTTCCTCGAACTTCATGGTTGACCATTCAGTGTAGGCGAACACGGTGACATGTGAACATGTCCCAAGGCACCCTAGTAGAAAAGGACAGCCTTCGGGGTTGACAAGATTTAATGCGAAACCCGCCCAAAGGAAAAAAGGGTGTCACAACTGGGTTGCAGTCAGTTGCATGATACCATCGGTTGCGAACATTTGGAGAGTTCTGGTGACATGGGGTTTTGCCGTGTTCTTGGTTGATTCCATCCTCCGCAGGCACTCTGCCTTGCAATGTCATGTGTTTGCGCTACCCGCACTCAAGCAATCGCAACATAACGCGTGATACAACGCTATGTGCGCATCCATATGAGTATCAGGAAGCATGCCACGCGGTGAAATGATCATTGGAGGCAGGTATCGACAGCTGTTGCGCTTGCGTTAGCCTGCACAAACCTCGCATGCAACAAAAAAATGGGTTCAGATGTGCCTGAACAGGTCATGTTTGTTGATGGCTGCCTGGAGACTTGGCAGGAGGGCTTTCTATTATCACATGATGCTGTCCCAATCTGTTCAAACAAAACCGTCGTTAATTTCTTGCTGGAGGCTTGCACAGGGTTTCCTTGTGGGTGTCCCTGTCAAAACAAAAGCTGTCGCAGCCTAGCGCGCGCTGAGGTCGCGCTGTTCAATGCGCCAAACTCGAGCCCTAAAGCCGGGCTTCGCGTTAGGCGGTTGGCTCCCCACCTTTCAGCATTGAGACGCACGAATGTTTCCCAAGATTTAGACATTCCGTTGGGGAAGCTGGCTTGAATTTGGGTTTTCTTTCTCGGGCCCTTTGAAAGGGACCAAGCTGTGAGATCGCAGAGGCATGCGACCTCAGAGATGGGCAATTCCTGCCCCAGAGACCGTGCGCCGTGCGAGCAGCGTACCAAAGCGGTGAAAAGGAGGGGACTCTGAATCAAGGATGAGAACCTCTACAAGGGTTGCTTCCTCTTTTCCTTGAAGAGTGGCCTTCTTACCCCCCCCATCAAACTCTCAGAGATTCTGGCAAGGTCAGACACAAAGGTCCCCCAGTTTGGGCTTCAAGTTGGTCCCTTCTGAAACAATGCGCGAGTATATAGCATGTTCGGTATTGTCGGATTTCATCCTTGTTTTGAAATGCTCACTCCCTGAACTTCATTGTGAAGACCTAATCTTGTGGCCGAGCCACTCGATCAGAAGCGAGCTTGAACAAAAAGGAAGGTGTCGGTTCCGTTTTGATGGGTGTAGTTTTTTTTCTTCTTATGATGAGTCATAAGATTGACGCGGCAACCCAGGCATGGTATTTTGCCCTTTTGCCGTGGACTCCGGGAAGCTGGACAGGCATACAGGCCATGTGCTTGTCCAAGTGAGCAAGTTGAGGCTGCTAGGTCCCCCAGTATTGCCCTTTTACCCTTTTTTTGGCGAGGGTTCCACTACTAAAATAGACTACAGACAAAAAGGGTACCCTTATTCTAACCTCTCTACTGGAGGACCTGGGGCTGGCTATTCTTGCTGGTGCGAGAAGTAGGGAATGTGGGAATGAACCGTTTGGGGTGTTTTAGTTGGATGGTTTATAAGGGTGATTCCCTGAGCACCGGCAAGCAATTTCACAAAATGATCATGGCTGAATGTAGGTTTGGCTTGACAGTATCCCCCGTAACCCCCCCCCCCCCAGCACCGTGCGCTTTAAGCGTTTGACAACCGTACTACAGGCATGGTGCAACCACCAAAAGCGATATGAGCAAATGTGTTCCAGTGAGCTTGCATCATTCGATGATGCAATTGACTTTGACGGACGCCATGCTACCGGGTGGCACTGATCGCTCGGCTGTTCGAAGGCTTGCAGAACTCACTTGCCCAATTCCAACCTTTCGACCTGCTGGTGTTCGCATGGTCCATGTTTCGTCATGGCCCAAAAGGTGATGATCATGGGGGCTGGGGGGGAGGGAGGGGGGGGGGGGCAGGGAGCCCAAACAAGCCCCAAATAGGCCTAAGGGCTTATTTGGGCTCCCTGCCCCTCCCCTCTTTGCCTCCCAGCTTCCACGATGATCACCTTTGTTTTCCGGGTTCCTTGGGGCAGCTGAGAAAAAGCCTTCACTGCCGTTGATGCGATTTGCGGCCAGGGTTCGCTGAGGCCGGAGGAAAGTGCAGAAGCGCTTGAAGGATGCCGGCGCAAAACAGAAGCCCGGAGCCTAGAAGTTTTTTCCGAGGCCCATGGGAAGCGACTTGCCCAAAGCAAAACTGTGGCGGTTTTTTGAGGGGGAAAATCTCCTCTTATGGTTACCCCCGACACCCAATACCCACTTTTTTCAGGGTATGAGGTCGACCCTCTACTAAAAAAGGAGGTATTTGCCATGGAAAACCAGGTTTCCTAAAAAATACCCTGAAAAAAGCGGGTATTTGGAGTAGGGGGTAGTTTTAAAGCGAAACCAAAAGCATTTGAGGGATCCCTGAGTTTGAGACACACCCAATTCATTCTCAATTTCGGGTTCAGCTTTGTAGCTCTTGGTATCGTTTTGGCTTCACTGTTCTTGGATCATGTTTTTTGTTTTTAGTTTTTTAGTTTTTCGGTTCTGTTCATTTTTTACTGGGGGGTCTGCAAAAAAAACAGTCAGTTTTTAGCAAGCCCATACCAAGAGTAGAGATGTGAGTTGTTTGGGTATCTTAGCTTCGGCCCCAAAAGCCCGGAACTCCAAACTGGCGCACGCCCGGTCGGTCAGTGGAAAAACATGGGCACTTCAAACCCTGCGGTTGGCCCGGCCCGGATCGTTTCATTTTGGTTGCCACCAGGCTCCCCCGAAGCTCCCCCGAAGCCGCCGTGTGCAGGCGCCGCCCGGCCGTCCAAGACGAGGCCGCGTGAAAAGAAAAAGGCCATCTCGGGCTGCAAGAAGATACGCCGTTCCCAGAATTAGCTCCCCCTTTTTGTTTTTGGTTTGCTTTTTTGTGGTCCTTTGTTTTCCACTCACCAAGCAAACACGATATATATGGTACAGCGTTGCCAGCCCCCCCCCCCCCCACCAATGGTCATGGGTCAGACAACTACCCCCCCCCCCTGTGGTTGTGGTCCTGTGGTTGGGTTGTGGTGGTTTAGGGTTGGTTTAGAATTGGTTTAGGGTATATTTAGGGTGTATTTAGGGTTAGTTTAGGGTTGGTTTAGGGTTGGTTTATGTTGATTTAGGGTTGGTTTAGGGTTGGTTTAGGTTTAGAGGTGTACGGTTTAGGGTTTGGTTTAGGGTGTATTTAGGGTTGGTTTAGGGTTAGTTTGGGGTTGGTTTAGGGTTGGCTTCGGTTTAGGGTTGGCTTCGGTTTAGGGTTTATTGTTTAGGGATTGGTTTAGGGTGCATTTGGGGTTAGTTTAGGGTTAGTTTAGGGTTGGTTTATGTTGATTTAGGGTTGGTTTAGGTTTACGGTTTAGAGGTCTACGGTTTAGGGTTTGGTTTAGGGTGTATTTAGGGTTCGTTTAGGGTTAGTTTAGGGTTGGTTTATGGTTGGCTTGTCCTGGGGGTGGGGGTGCCGGGGTCTCGGGGTGCGAGTTCAGGGGGTCGGGGTGCGGGTGGGACCGTAGGTGACAGGATCCGGGGGCTCGGGGTCTCGGGCCCGGGAAGAGGGGGGGGGTCCTGGGGGACCCATGCCATAAGGGGGGGGGGTGAGGCCCACTGCCCCAGGTGCCTATCCCAGAAGGGAACTGGTACCCTGTGGTAGTAGAGGTCGTTGTTGGTCCCTGGATCTATTCCGGAGAGAATCCAATATGCCACTGTGGATGATTGGAGGATGGATTGTCCCTGGTGGATTGTCTTGTGGATAATCCTGTAAGCGGCCTGCTAAGGTTCTTTTGCTTCACGCGATCATGAATGATGCAATGATATACAAACGGGGCCCTTGAGCCAAATGTTGCGGGAGATCAATTGGTCTGAGAACCAAACACAAAACAGACACAAATTTCTTTTGATCTCCAGCACTAAGTATGAAATACTATTGGCTTCATGGCCTTTGGCCGTAGCCTTGATGTATGCCGTAGCCATGCTGTATGCCGTAGCCATGTGTATTAAAAATGACGGATTTATTCTCTTTTCTGCTCGGATGAAATGTCTTGGCTTTTGAAATGGAAAACACTATGTACTGCTTCTTTTTGAGATACCTAGATGTATCAAAGGGTGATGTACAACGCTATGTACACGCGGGACGATTGTGAAACGATCTCTCACTCATGGTATAGTCTTGTAGACGGCGAGGATCAATCATCTGAATTGAGTTCGTGGTGCTGAACGTATGAATCTTCATGGTCAGTCGGATCGACGATACCATCGGCGGCTGCTGCCGGATTGACTGCCATAGTCTCCATAGTCATTCCAGGTCGAGTTGCTATAGTCCTTCCACTGCTTCTGATGTCCCCACTGCTTGTTGTAGTCCTTGTACTCCTGCGGGGTCCAGGCTTGTTTCTTCTTGATGTACTCCTGGTATCTCTCAGAGCTGCGTTGCCTGGTTGCAGATTTGCTGCGGATGTAAACCATGAGAGGACTGTGAGAGTCGGAGTCCTGCGAGCCATTCATGAACATGTCATTGTTCACGTGCTTAAAGCGCTCTGCGGATGAGACCTGGTAATCGAATATGGCCTTGGTTGGATGGTTCCGCATGAATTCCAGTTGTTCATCATCCATGCCGTTCATCTCGTCCTTCCGGAAAGCCTGCTGGATGTTCGTTTTGCCCCATCCAAATACGAAAGTCATCATCACATCTGGGAATGTTCGATCATACCCTGATCCACACTTCATGTACAGGTGATGACGGACAATGGAGTTTAGGGTGCACGAAGTCTCCATTGCATACTCCATTCTGTCCACGAGTGGCAAATCTTTCGTTTCATT